CGCGCGCACGCGCACGCGCGCACGCACGCGCACGCGCACCCGCGCACGCGCACGCACACCACACGCACACGCCCACGCACACGCACACGCACACGCCCACGCACGCCCACGCACGCGCACGCGCACGCGCTCGCGCACACGCACAGGCACACGCACACGCCCACACACACACACACCCACACACACACACTCACACACACACACACACCCGCGCGCGCACGCCCACGCGCACGCGCACGCGCACGCGCACGCGCACACGCACACGCACACGCCCACACACACACACACCCACCCACGCACGCACACACGCACGCGCGCACACACACACACACAGACACACCCACACGCACACGCAAACGCACACGCACCCCCACACACACACACACACACACAAACGCCACATACACACACACACAGACACACCCACACGCACACGCAAACGCAAACGCACCCCCACACACACACACACACACACACACACAAACGCCACATACACACACACAGACACGCGCACACAGACAGACACACACACACACAACGCACACACACACATGCCCGCGCACGCTTTTCACGCTTGTGCAGACGCAACCCAATGCGCCGGTGCCCCTGCGCATGCTACGCGCGCAAGCGCGCACGCGGCCGTAAGCCCCCACGCGCAGACACGTGCGAACAACGCGCAGCGCGCAAGATGTGCGGGATCTCTGCGCGAGATTTGTTGTTCGGATCCTTTTGTCAAAATCTGTGTGCAGGATCTCTGGATCTCTTGGCAAGATTTGCGAGCAGGATCCATGAGAGGACCCTCTATGTTTTGAAGTTCTCTGTCAGGAATCTACAAAATCTCACTGCCGGCCCTGTACTTCGGTGTTTGTAACTTGCACGGGAGCGATCCGACCTGCCAAAGGCGCACTCTTCGTGTTGTAGAAAAGTGCGCAAAGTCGCTTTCGATGTTCAGATCAGGCACAGCGAGAGCGATCCGACCCGCTGAAAGCAGAAGGTTCAGCCTCGATGTTGCAAACTCGCTCCCCGCCACAGCCAGAGCGAACCGCCCCACCCAAGGGGGCAGAGGTTCGTCCCTGATGCTCCAAATACGCCCGCAGTCCCACTCGTAGCCCCCCGAATGTTCAAATCCGCAGAGGGTTCGCTCCATGTTCAACACGAGCGTGACGTAATGGCGACAACTAAAGTCCGCAGAGAGTTGATTGCCATGCTAAAAAGTCGCACACCGGGAGCGATCTAACGCGGCGTTTGCCACTCAGCCGTTTTCTCGAGCGTCTCACAGGGGGGCGATCCTCCGCAATTTTAGGAGTATGACTGGCTCATCTCCTTCAGCAGACTTGTTGAATTGCAAATCTGGGTCCCTTGGAAGCGATCAGCCACTGAGTAGTTCGATAGCCCCAAAGTTTCCGCCAGATAATTATGCTAAATAATTATCCCCTGTAGCCGGGGCCAAGACCCAACTACGAACTGGCAAATCCTCCTCAGCCTCTGTGGGCAAACAACACAAGGGAGCAAAAACAACTCCTCGCCCAAAGGGGTTTTGGCAACTCCCCAATCTGCCCCACAGGGAAGCAGTAGATGCATGTAAGAGGCTTCGTAGCCAGCAGCATATCAGCAAAGGAGAGCCTTGGGTTTGGAAGGCGCTTGCTCCGTCAAAAAATGCTCGCTGTAAGCTGCGCCTTCTCATGTAGGTTACTTGTTGTAGCCTCTTTTGATTGAATGAATCTTTGCGAGAAGTATGCAACCTGCGTGGCCCTTGAGCCGATGCAATACGCCGAAATACACATGTCTGAATTGTGAAGCCGCTGCCCCACGATTGTTAAGCAGACTCAATCCAGTGAGTTCCCAAGAAAGGCAGTCGGGCACCACTGAACGGGTCAGGCCTTTCGCCAAGCACACTTGATTTTATGTCTCGAAGAGGCCAATTCCAACCATGGACACCTTTAAACCCAGGAATGTGCCACCAAGCCATGCCCTGTCATTTTCACCAAGGCTTGCTTCAAACACATACTCAACTGGCTTTTCAAACACAAGCCAAACTGTACTGAAGCTGCCTGAAACCCAGACCCGTTTGTGGATCCCCCGTTAAGGGCTTTCTGATCGTGGTCATTGATGTTCTTTGGTGTTGATGTCGCTTGTTTTGTGTTGTTTTGTTTTTTGTTGGCTCTCGATGGCGTGTTTTGGTTGTCATTTGTCATCGGGGTTTCCAAGGACGCTTCAAGCATTGTCATCGCCATTGTCATCACTGTAATCGCCCCAATGTCATTGTCGTCTTCGTCATCATCCTCATCATCATCATCATCATCATCATAACTGTTGGACAAGAGGCAAGCAGTGGGATGCGTTGCGTCACATTACTTCCAAGCGTTGCCAAATAGGCCGGGTTCGCACTAGATATGCCGAAGCACGAGCTCACATGAAGATCCTCTAATTGTGGATCCCTTTATTCAGGTTGTCGATCCATAGTAATTTGTGCAGATATGTGCTGATAAACCGGCCAACCATGCCCAAAGAAAAAAGCATTAATAGGCGTGTGCATACATGTACGCATGAATGCATGCATACCTACCTGCGTACCTACATACCGACATACCTGGCATACCTGCCGAAAAAGAAAACAACGGCCCCAAGAGAATGCAACCAGCATCCCCCCACAACCCATGTCACTTGACTCAAACCCATGCTCCTGACCTGACGCGGCACCGCAAAGAAAACAAATCCAAAACGGCCCCCAAAGCAAAGAACAAAACGGACAAAAACAAACAAATCCCCAACCAAACCGGCTCCTCCCCCCTCTCAAAAAAAGAAGAAAGCAGACAAAATCAAACAAGCTTCCAACCAAGCCGGCTCCTCCCCCCCAAAAAAAAAGAAGAAGAACACGGGGGAAAAAACAAAAGAAACACCACAACCGACACGCAGACTCCAAAAAAAACGGACTCCACGCGGTGATCCGATGTCGGGTTCCTCAGCAGGTCTTTGCGGCGCTGCTCAAAGAGGCGAAGAGCGATCCGCACCTCGGCGGAAGTGTCTCCGTGTCTCCGTCCGGGCGTGTGGCTCTGCGTCCTTCCAGGCGTGGGTGGGTGTTTTGTGGTTTGTTTTGCTTTTTCATGGGTGAGATGGAAATCCTACCACTAAACCAACCAAAAGGCTAAAAAGGGTACCCTGCCACCAATTCACATGGAGCCTGACAGAAGAAGGGTCCTGCAAGACCATTTTCCTTCTAAAAGGGCCCCCGAACGTCAGCTTCCATGTTAATCGATGGGAGGGTCCCCCCCCCCCCGCCGCTCCCGTATTTTGATTCCCATACCCATAAAACTCCACAAGGAAAACACTCACATTTGTTTTGATGGGTCTTCCCATTTCTTCTCACAGCACCGACGTTTGGAGGCTGGAAAGCCGTAGCTGGTGGCTAGATGTGGCGAGTCAACTTCTCAACTGGGGGTTCCGCTTTGTGCCTTTTTTAGGGGCACGCCCAAACTGGAGCAGTGGTTTGGTTTTCCTTATGTCTAGCTCTGTCTAGCGGGAAAAGAGGATCAGTGTCTGGTATCAAACGCGAGAGATCCCGAAACAACCTTAAAAGAACTTGCCTTGTTTAGGAATCGGACCCCCAAAATGGATTTGGGTTGTCCTTTGGGTTTTTCTTGACCAACTCAGGGGGGTCACCAAAGGACACCCCCAGACTTTGCGACGTTTCTCTAGCTGGGTGGTTGGAAGGGAGCCGGACTCGGAGCTGGGGGTATCCAAATGTGCTCAAGAGGGAGCCTTTCGGAGCTACGGATCGGAGTTCTGGTCAGGGACATGGTAGATGTACTCGATAATGTTTGGGTGTGCGTCTTTTTAGGGGAACCCCCAACATGTTTAGGGAAACCTTTTTCCTTTTTCCGCTGACAAGCAAGTGGCACCCTCACAAGAGACCATTTGTTGTCATGACTGTGCTTTTCCCACAAATCAACCGGCCTCAGGTTTTGGAACCCCAGGGCGGGTGCAGTGACCCGGCAGCATGAGCGCGTTTTGGCATTGCACTCGGCATTTCTTTGTCACACAGGACCCACCCACGCACCGCAAAAGAAAACACCCCAAAACCATCCCCAAAGAAAGCCCCTGAATCGTCCTTCAAAAGGAAGGGTTCCCATTTAAAGTCAACCAAAAGAAGATGCCTGTGTTTTTTTCTCCCGTGGAAGGCTGTGGTGCTTTTGGTTATCTGACTCTTGTGATGTACCATTTTCGGCCTTGAGTGTTGCTGAAAGGTTGGTCATGTTAGGAGGTGTGGTGTTGTTTGTGTCGCTTTGTGATTTGGCACTTCTCAAACTTGAAAGTGGCAAATACCAGGTGAGCCACCATCAACACCTGGTTAAGGCACACTCCCAACCACAAATAAGTGCCTTCGCCACCCATTTTATGTTGAGCTGGGATCGTGGCCCAACATACGAGTCTGCACGGATGTTTGGAGCCAATCTTGGCTCCCAGCCATCCGTTCCAGAAAGGTTTGTAGTTGATTTGTGTTGGTTTAGTGAGATAGAGGTACCACTAAACCCAGTGAAAGGTAGTTGCTCTGAGCAAGGGATCTGGGAACAGCCCAGTGTTGAGTTTCCTTTTAGTAGGATCATGTCTAAAGAGGGAACAATGAGAATTCCTGTTGCAATACCATCCACTTCATTCGGGCATGCCATGGGGCGAAATCACTTGGTTTTGATTACCTCTTGGAGATGCCCACCTTTGCATCAGGGATGGACCCTTGAGGGATTCCCAAAGCTACGACCGTGGCCCAAAATAGCGGATTTTGATTATGACTCAAGTGGCTGTGGCTCAAAAAGATGTACCAAAAATGGCATCTTGCCAAATGGAACCAAAGATCAAACCTTCGTAGCCCTACCTCTTAAATTTTGAGCCACACCCAAGTGGGTATGGGTCAAAATTAAGCCACCGGGGGACCACAGGTTTTGGTCCATGTTTCCACTTGCCAGGGTTTGATTTGGGGTACCTAGTTTTGAGCCACGCCCACGTGTCCAATGTCTTGTCAGGCCAACGACCGCCAGATCCTCCGCAAGCTGCTCACGGCGGCGGGCGCGGACAATGAGATCATGGCGCCTTGGATACGATTCAACGGGGCCAGGTCCAACTTTCCGTACTGTGGATGGACTAAATCCGTTCGTGCCACTTTGAAAGCATGGGGTTTGTTGGTATTTGCAGGGGAACCATCTTGATAGGGTTTCTTTGGTGGTGCAGGATGTCGTCCATCTACAGTATGTTTCCCCTTGGCGCCAATGTAAAATGAGCTCTGATCGGAGTGTGACGTTTCGGGAGATTTATTTATATTATCGTGTTTTCTTTGAGAAGCACCCTTTAGGTTTCATGTTGGTTTCATTTGGGAAACCAAAGAAAAACCGCCCATGTGGGTCCCCGAATTTTGGGCCGGCCTTTTCGGGACGCCTTGCGCCGGTGAGTCTGAGGCTTGGCTACCAGTGCTGCGGCTCTTCTTTCCTCAGCTTTACTTCGGCCCCAACGCGACTCGTCGCATTGAAGCCGAGTGGCCGGATGTGTTCGCCCCGATTTCCCATGGCGCCGGGCGCTCCTTGGGTGCTGGTTCACTAAAAATGAACCCATGGTTGTTTCTATCTTTCGGGTTGGTTGCAACTTTGAACAGAATAACGGGGTTGATGAGCATGTGTGAAAACTGCATCCTTTTTACAATCCATCAGGTTGATCATTCACAGGCTGGGTACAACTTTGTTTTGTTCGGGGCGGTCAACGACCGACTCAGCCGCTACTTGCCTCCCTGAGCATATCATGTGTGTAGCTTTGAGCCAAAAGGCAGCACCCTTGGCGGACTGACCAGGTGAAGATCATCTGAGTTCATGGACTTTCTACTTTGTGGTTTGGACCATGTTAGTGGCAACTAGCTGAGCTGTTCTGCAGCTGGGGGTATCCAAATCGGCCTTTGAAGAGGGAGCTAAGGCTTTTTAAGGAGCAACGATGAGTTCTGCAAGGGCATGGTAAATATGGTATGATAGAACAAGACATTTTCATGTTCTGTCCCACATGTGGGCCAAGAATGTGGGTTGTATCAATTCCAGCTTGATGGCTATTTTGCGGATGGACCGAAGCAAGTGCAACCTGTGTTGTTTGTGTGTACGTGTTTGTTTTTGTGTTTGTTTGTTTTTGTGTGTGTTTGCTTTAGATATGTGTTCGCGTGCTTGTCTAACAAGATCCATGGAGGGGTCCCTCATTGAGGTGCACACCTATTCCATATAGAACCCCACATACATACAATGTATATGTGTGCATATTGATGTTATTCATATTATGATGTTGAATGTGGAACATGACCGGTGGGCATAAATATCTATGTGGATGATGTTCGCTAAATCGATTCCAATTCAACCTCAATGCATACCTGAATATAAAATACATCTATATAGACATACACATATATTATTGCTATTGCTATTGTTGTAGATGTAGAGCCATAAACTGGACATGCATACAATTTATGTATCATACACAAGCAATATACACTGATACATGTACACGGACACATTGCTGTGTGTCAAAACCACTTGGATCCCATTTTGGGGTAGGTGCACCACCCATTTTAGAACCTATTTTAGTGGTTGGATGGGGATGTTCACTGGGGGGACGATTTGGATTTTGATTCATGGCGACATATGTAATACGCAGCTGTATCGATTCACACATTCCAAGCGTAGGCGGATTCGGCAGGTGGTGAATGCCATGGTGGAGCGTGACAACCTCCATGCGACCACCCGGCCCTTGCGGGTGCGCCGGCGAGGGACCAGGGGCGGGTGGTTGATCACCCACGAGTTCCGTTTGAGACTTGAAGCTTTTTGGGTTTGGACCATTTTAGTGGCAAATAGAAAGTTTGGACTTTTTGTGCCAATCCGCTCAGGAAGTGAGTCTAGGAATGGTTCCCACTACCCCCAAACCACTTCCAGCGGTGTGATGATGCAAGCCTTAGACCTGTGCGTCCTACACCGTGAAAGCAGATGACCCAATGCTCTGTATTTGGGTAAGTGATGGAGATATTAACACCAGAAAATGCCGGGAGTTTCTATTCAACTGCGTCATAGGTAAGGGGAAGCCATCACGGAAGCGGAGACCTGAGGGAACCATAGCCTGCAGATTCGGAGCTGAGGCTCTCATGAAATCGGCAGCTGTGGCTTTCGACCCAAATCCTGGGCATGTGTGTGTGTGCTTAGTTTTTGGTGCGAAATGAATGAGTGAATCAGAGACCGAGAAGGGGGTGTACCACCGACTACTTTTTTTGGTACCCACGACGCAAGAAAACGTACCCGCGACTAATTTGTACGACTATTCTTAATATATTAATATTATTAATATTAAATCCGTGGATCCACCCCAGCAGAGTATTTACAGACTACAAAAAGAGTATGGAATAAAGCATTCACCGAGGGGGAAGAGCGGATGGAATCCACAAGACACGTATTCAAATTGTTTGCTGGAAGAACGCACTCAACCAGCCTTTTGGCATGCTTGGGGAACTCCAATGGAACCAGAGAATGGACTGAACAAGGAGACAAAGTCTATACGTAGAGTCTTGAGCTACGATGTGTCTACAGAAATCAGCATATTGAAGAGGCTGAACCTTCTGAGGATGGGCTTGTGTCCATTTGCCCTTATTCCCTTGCCCGACAGCATCTTGCACCCGGCAGGTTCGGGCAGAATGTCTATGGTGAGAAGCGGGAGGATCAGGGACTTATCAAATGCCCCACAAAAGCAAAAATCTCCTTGCGGGCCCCCCTTTCGCATCCGGCTATGAATCATGAAATTTGATGAAGAATACTTCCCCAAATGCTCGGGCATAGCTGTTCTACAAAAAAAACTCTTGTTGTGTGGCTTCACACAACGTTTGGACCCCACCCATGTTGAGGTTTTGTTTTCAGACAAATCCGCATATCTGCCATGGTCAACACCCTTTGGCCGGCCGATGGTCACCTCCGGGATTTTTGACAACCAGCCGTGACCATCGCGTGCCATGTGCGTGTGTCTTTTTTTTGGGAGAGGGAACCCTTTCTTTTTTGGGGGAGGGAACCCCTTTTTTGGGAGAGGAAACCAAAAGTAAAGCTGAGCATTTGGGGGGTCCTACCCATGTGGATTTCAATGGCCCTGCGCCAGGTGGTGACGCTTTGTAAGATGCTGATCGATGCCTTCTCCACGCACTCCACCAAGAGTCAGGGCGTGGTGGTCTTGTCGCGGCCCCAGAGCCAAGGGGAAAGAGTCCTACAGCATAGAGTGATTCGGAGCCATAGGGGAGCCAGTGAGCACTAGTTATTACTGATTATTTGCGTTGGCTCTCCCTGCTCTGAAACAACCTTAAGCTGGTTTCCCCGATTTTTCAGCCACGTCTTTTTCTAGGGGGTGATTCCCGTTAAGTTCTGTGGCTGGAAGCTCTTGCAGCCCCCGGCCGGGTTTAAACCGCGACCCAACGGGTTTCGTGACCGCTCCGGAACATAGAAACGCAGGGGGGGGGGGGTGCTTCAATTGGCCTGTACTTCAGGGACCCCAATTTCGGTTGTTTGCCATACATAACTTGGTTCCCAGGCCTCCCTTTGCAATTTTTAGGTTTTGAGGTTTTTTGTTGATTTCGTGGTTGGGTTTCCGTGTACCCCACTGAAAGTGTTTTCACTTTTATCAGGGGATTTGAGGACAGCCCAGATAGCCGTCTTTTTTGATTTTGGTAGAACATAGGTGGCCCTAGTAGACCTGGTTGTTTCAGAATCTAGGAGAGCCAGCGAATTTCCCCAAAAAGACACGAAAGGACTTAATTTGACCATGAGAGCTACAAGACAAGCCTCCATAAACGCATGAGCGAAATACGTAGACATGCCACATGTGTATAATGCGCTTCGAGGCGCGCGCTGCCACGCAATATGAGAAATGGCTCATGGAGCTACAAATGAAAGAAGCTGACGGGCTGTTCTCGAAGGCGCTATGATCTGACCCGATGGTGCTTGTCAATGCGGGGCCAACAACCGCAACAACATCATGCCCAATGGCGAGGTCACCGATCCAGGGATAACATCATCTCACCAATTTGCTTTGTTCAGGTTCTGGAGTCATTGTAAAACTTTCAGACAAATACACACTAATACGTCATGAGCATGATATGTTTGTTTGGCCGTCATGGAATGTGTCACTTTTCAAATATTGCGAAGTCCCAACACATGTAACCCTATATTTGACGTTTTCCAGCGGCAAGAGATTGAAAGTTGAGGCATCCCTATTGCACCCTCGAAGGCAAGATCTAAGCATGGTTGTTGTTGGGAAACATTGGACACATTTTTGCTTATTGTGGTTTAGTGGTTGAAATCCCCACTGAACTGCTAAAATTTGAGAATTGTTGCTTTCCTTCCAACGTCAACCAAGTAAGGCGATGATGGTCTATCAAGGATGGTTGTTAAAACTCTATTCGTAGACGCTATTCCAGATGGTCATTGTTTCCCTTGGTACAGTGGCATCCCTGTACTGATTACGGATTAGGGTGATGGATCCCCCCAAAATTTTGGACAAGCGAAATCAGTTTCTGGTTATTTGTTTCAGGGCTCCGCATAAACACCCAGAACATGTTTTTGGTTGGGGAAAAAGCTGAGACATTTGTGCCTTTTGCGTCGTAGAACATATCAACCTGTTGGTTTCGGTTTGGACGAAGATCTATTTCGCATGAACATTTGTGCAGCAACTCAGACCAGAACCTCCGCAACAATTGGCTCGAAGTGGTGGCCGAAAGGTTGGGATTGAAACCATCAAGCCTCAAACCCTCAAGCCCAGTGGATCCCAGTTAATGTTGATCCTGGATTGATAAACTCCTGAGCTTCGGAAAGCTGATGGATATTTTGGAGGGATACTAGGGACGGTTCATGGGTCATTTCCTCTGAGAACCAGAAAAGTTAAGCTGGCAATCTTGACCCAGGACTCAGAAACCCCTGTTTATTAATAGGGGGGTGTCCCTTGTTTGGTGGGATTCAGACCATTTTTGGAGGGGTTCAGCCATTAGTAGGATGGGTTTATTATTCTGGGGTCAACATTATTCTTACAGTATAGTAGCCCTTCGATCCATTTTCCATTTTGGTTTTTAAAGGGTGGCACGCGTCTGGTTACCTATTATATGGTGGATATTGGGATGATGTCCCATCCAGGTCCGTGGTTTGACGCAGTTCGGCTCTATGAAGGTTCCGGGTTCTCGAGCGGGCGTTGCCATGCACACTTGAGAAACTACAGTATGTTGCATACCCAAAGTGGCTGCCACATACTGTGGATGGTTGCGAAATCCATTTCGCACCACCTAAGACACCCTGGAATGATGATTGCCCTGTAAATGCCAACCGACAACGGCTTCCCAGGATTTCGTCCATCCACAGTATGAACATTTTGAGGGACCCACTTTTGGGGTATGTTGAAAAGAGAAGCCAAAAAGAAAATTCTCACCATTTCGGGGGGTCCGCATCCTTGTGTTAAGACATACCCACCTAGACCCCATGTTTTTTTATAGGGACGGGGCCCCCGGGCTGGGGTTGAGGCTTCACCTCCGGCGCTCGACCTCCTTCTTCGGCCAGTCGGGCGCTGCTCGGCTAAAAGGAATAACTGGGATTCCCTTTGCGTCCATTCTGGAAAGCATTTGTTTTTCCTTGAGGGAATCTATGACTATTGGATATACCCTTCCACCATTTTCTTAAGAATACTCACTTGCCCAAAGCGCATCGAGCTGAAATGACCTTTTGGTTTCCCCAGTTTGGTCCATTTTTAGTAAAGGTCCCAAAAGGTTAACCTTTTATTTCCAGGTCCTTTGGGCAACTGAGAATATGTCTTATAATCCCCTGCTTGTTTTTGAAGGAATCTATCACTAGATACATGTTTGTTTGTTTGTTTTTTTCCTGGGGACAAGCAAACAGAGGTTTGCCCGGGGCTATTTGTTTGATTAATGGGAATCCGGCAAGAATACATCACTTTTGGAGGGAACACCCCTTATGACTAGGATGCATTGATAATTTATTGTGGGGTCAGCCAACATTTCCTAAAGGTAGACTTAACCCAGCGGTTCCCCACCCCTGGGTTTAACCTGGTAATAAAGAAATGCAACCCTGCCCCTCTTCAGACCCCAGACAGAGCCATTGAATGGCTGCTCCCCTGGTGGTTTCTTTAGACCCCTTTGTGGGTTGCTTTGAAGGGAACGGCGCAAGCTGTTTTGTCATTTTGAAGTTCACCTCATGTTGGGAAAAGCACACCCAAATCTCACTCCCTCAGTGCATGGACTTCAACACTTTTTGAGAATACCATTTCCATGGCAAACTAGAAGTTTGGACTTTTTTCTGGCCATCCACTCCGGAAGTGAGAAATTACGTGTGTGTTGGTTTGCCCACTAAACAACAGGCATGTTGTTTTGCTAAGGGTTGGGCCATTCAGACATGCGTGCTGTATTTGTCCGCATCTGAAAGGAAGGCGTTGGTTTCAATCCATAGGTCAACCCGGGGCTGCTACAGCTCATCCTCAATTTCCCTTGTTGGGACTTCCAAAAGTGGCAGTTTGGTTGGAACCCTCCAGTAAATTGCCACTTTTGAAGGGGAATTCCAGTGACCCCTGTGCTACAAGTCAAAAGCATACACTGTGGCCAAAGTGAGTTGTTCACAATTATCAGCTGGTTTGGAGCATCTTGGAAATCGAGGATTTGGACGCATCTTCTGAATCAGCAGTTTCAAATGCCATGAATGGCATCATCATGGCAACCCCACGCCCTATCGCTCTCTCAAGTGGGCAGGTGTCTCGTGGCGTGACCGAAAGAACCTGTGGCTTCTAACTTCGTTGCAGTTGCAAGTTACCCGCATTGCATGGGCTGGCCTTTTCACTCAGACTTCCTGGAAAAAGCAAAGGAGCCCCTCCCCCGCAAAAAGAGGCCCTGAACCCTGAGCTTGCGAAAAAAATACCGCCCACGGATTCCTCGGGCCTTGGGCGTGGCCAAGATAAGTCGGGGTGTGGCCAAGTTTTGCGCCACACGCAGGCGCCTTAGGCTTTGCCCCCTTTAAAGGATCCTGTCTGACCTAGTCTTTCTGTTGTGGTGTACAGGACATTCATTATTACCACTTGAACGCTGAAAAGTCACGTTTTCCTTAGGAGCTCTGCTCTTGCGCAGGCAAGAGCCTTTTTTGCCAGCACTCCTTTGAGAAAACATGGCCCGATGTGTCCAATATGTTGGTCTCAGGACTACGACGAAAACATCGCACAGCGCCCAGATCGATTCGAGTCGGCGGGTTCGAACTCAAGATCCTAGGAACTAGCCGGTTGGAAGGGAGCCAAGGAGCTGAGGCTATCCAAATTTGCCTTCAAAGGGAGCTACCAGGAGGTCTGTATGGACATGGAAGCTAGGGAAAGGTGCTGATTGTTGAACATAGCGATGCTTGACAAGATCTAAGAATGGGAGTCTAACCCCCTAGATTTGACTGTGGCCAGTGGGCCACAGTGGACAAAGCTCCCAGTGTTTCCACATCAAGCACAGCTCATGGGAGAACTGTGTGTTCAGCTCAGAATCGAGAGGTCTTGAGTGTACAGGTCTTCCGTTGTCCTTGTTATTGTTCCTCTAAGTGCTTGCGCAAGCATGAGTTCCTTTTCTGCTTGAATTTCCGTTGCCCCATGTTTGTCATGTTAATTTGCTTGGGGGTTCCATATCCTGCTTTTTCTTCGGTTGCAAGGTACCCCCCCCCCATGGGGCTCTACTTTGCAGACACCCCTTTAGGTAAAGTAACTGTTTACCTGGACCCTCAAACTACCCTGAAGCAAAGGGGCGTTCCGCCCCTGTTTGGGGCTCGACCATTTGAGTGACAATCAACACCCGGGTATGTGAACTTCCCGAGTTCCTGGACTTCAAACTTCTTGTGCCATGCCAAGGTTAGTGGTACCTAAAGTGTTCCTGGACTCTTTTCGGCCAATCCACTGGATGGTTCGTAAGGGTTTGTAAGGTTAGGTCCCCAGTAGTGCCCTTTTACTCTTTTCTGGGGGAGGGTCCCCTACTAAAATAGACTACAGAAAAAAGTTGGTACCCTTAATCTAACCGCTCTACTGGAGGACCTAAAAGGGCTTGCAAGGTTAGTCGGGGTGAGTAGGTGAGGTCCTGGACGAAGAACCAACCACACCCATAGGGAACCCATGGGGAAACCGCTCGATCGGACGTGATGCTTTTTCTGGGTACCTGGAGTCTCCATGGCCCTTAAAAAATGGAGCCATTGCCCACAACAATGGGGTCATTGACCCATTAAAATTAGAGAGGGGGACCTTCGATTTCTCAAGTGTTTTTCGGTTTTGGCCAGAATGCTGCAAAATTAGGTGTGTGCGAAAAACCAACGCTCACAGGGTCCCTTTCTGGAAAATTTTCCAGGGTCATGGAGACTCCAGGTAGACTGAGGCTCCGGGCGTTTCGTTTTTTTTTTTTTTTTCTTTTTGTTTTTCTTTCGGTGAGGTGGACGGCATAGCCCAGCTCTGCCAGCACCGCGGGGATCGCAGGGCGTCCCAGTGGTCCAAAGGGACTTACTTGGTGGTCTCCGAACGAAACTGTAGCTTGGTGAATTTTGCCAAGGGATGTTAGGACTTTAACTGTTTGCCAACGAATGAGTTTTCCATTAAACAATTAAAAATTATTCACTTTTAGCAGGGGAGCAGAAGCCAACCGAGTATAGCTTGGTGGTTCAACTTTGGTTTTAAAGCGTTTTAGTTGGCTTAGTGGTTGGGTTTTCATTCAACCCACAAGTCAAACTTTCAGCAGGAGGTCTGAGGACTGCCCAGATAGACCCACTTGGTGCCTCCCATATTGTGAATTTGACTGGGTCAAAGAGGACCCGAAACCGTGGACAGCAAATTTCGGTGGGCGTTTGTGTCCACCATTTGGCAGGGGGTTCCTCAATTGATTTTAGGGCAGAGTAACGATGTTCAAGACTTGACATTTGTGCGTGCGGGAACTAGGACATTCCACTAGACACATGTGTTGGAGGTTAGAGGTGTCGGCATACCTTCCGTCCAGCGATCATGGAAGAGAACAGGAGGGACTCGGAAGACTACTTTCCCCTAGAACGTCCACTTCCATTGTTGGACAGAGCTATCCCCACCATATCCAACTAAACACCCAAAGTCAATCCATATGATTGTGGCATCCCGCAGATGCGTGTGGCTTATTTCAATAGGACTCCCAAAAAAAGACAAATGGAGTTGTTGTCCTTTGGGTTTCGCTATTGCAAACCCAAAATTGTTGGACAGAGGGTATCCCCGCCGTATCCCACTAAACACCCATAGTGTGGATGGAAGGAATCCTGCACAACCTAAGAAACCCGGTCTGATTCCCCTGTAAATACCAACAAACACTGGTTTCAACCATGGTTCGCAAAGTGGTGCGAACGGATTTCGTCCGTGTACAGTAGGTTTATGGCCTATCTCCAGAACTTGCTGGTTCTCAGCAGGGAATGAGTTAGAACGACCCCTAGACAAGCCATCCAACCTGTGACTTCCTTTGAGGGAATCCCTGGGTTCATTCCCACATTCCCTACTTGTCACACCAGCAAGTTATGGCATATCCCCGCTAGCGTCCTATAAAACCATTCAACCTATGGCTTCCTTTAAGAAGGGAAGCCCCAAAACCGGTTTTAGAGCTTGCTGGTGCGACAAGTCGGGAATGTGGGAATGAACCCAGGGATTCCCTCAAATGAAGCCACAGGTTGGATTGTTTATAGGCATCATTCCAACTCATTCCCTTCCTATCGCACCAGCAAGCTTTCTAATTGTGAGTGAATGGTCTTATCATCCAAGCAACCCATCAAGAAGACTTCATGTTGCATTAAGAAAGAAACATGTTACACAAAATGGATAAAGAGAAAAAGGAAAGAGAAACAGAGCAACAACAAAATAGAGAGAGAGAAAGACAAACATAGGAGGGGCGAGAAACTAGATAGATAGACAGACAGACAGACAGACAGACAGACAGACAGACAAAACGACAGACAAAAAGACAGACAGACAAAAAGACAGACAGACAAAAAGACAGAAAGATGTCACAAAATCTATATGTGTGTGTGTGTGTGTTTCGTTTTTGAGCATAGGTGTCCTTTTTGGTTGGTTTGCTTAAAAAATAGAGGCCCTGGTTTAGATGGTTTATTCCATTTACCAGCGCCATCTATTTTTCCAAAAGGCCACCTATGTTTTTGAGGGGATCCCCAAAACCTTTCGGAACAGGGTTGTGGGATCAAGGGGTTTCTCCCCACTTCTGTGATACAAGTTGGAATCCCCCTTTATATGAAGAAATAGTCTTTGGGGTTAGGCCCTGTCTGTTGTATCACAGTGGATTCCGTTCCCCGCAGCCCTGTTCAGGTTTGTGGGAACATGGGACCCCTTTTGGTTGGTAAAGGGACACCAAGAGGAAAGCCACAAATTTATGTGCCACACCTCTTCCCATAGCCCATTTTTTTTCGGTTCACGAAGGCAAGCCGCTGATCTTCTGCGTGGTGACCCGAGAGGCCGCGCTGCCCTCCAAGGCGACAAAAACCCGCGGGGGAGTGGGGAAGTCGGCTTTCGGCTTTCCGCGAGTCCCTTGCTTTGGGAAAAGGGTCCCCTCAAAAAGAAGAACATATAGATAGATATCTATGTCTATACAGACAGACAGACAGACAGACAGACAGACAGACAGACAGACAGATAGATAGATAATTAGATAGATGTATCTATATATCTATAGAATCTATATACACATATATATATAGACTTATATGTACTCACCTCCTTTCAACAAAATAAAGGTTACCTAAAACACACACACACACACACACACACACACACACACACACACACACACACACACACACACACACACACACACACACACACACACACACTTTCGTGACACCAGAAAAAGTTCCTCTTTTGGATAATCGGTTATTTGGAGGGCCCTTCGTATCGCAGTGGGTAGTTCCCACGACCATGGGAACGGCGAATGATTCGGGGTGGCTGGTTTCTCCCAGTATAAGGGTCTCATTTATTTCAACTGGGGGGAAGTGGATTGTGTCCGTAGGTCAGCTCGGTTCAAAATACATTGACATGTGTTCCATTGGTTTCAGTTTGGTTGATTCATTTACCGGTGGAATTCGGGTGGAGGCAGGACTGGGATGCGAGACGTTCACAGATCGGCTTGTAGGTTGAACGAGTCGGGTTCCCAGGGCGGGTTATTGCTCGGGCCCCCTATGATGAAGGCTCCTCTATTTTAGTGGGATGTTCACTGGGGGTACGGGGTTTTGACCCAGGGCCAGATAATGTCCCCCAGAAAAATGTGTTGGCTGACTATGTTGACTTGTATGTGGATGGACGGTGGTGGATTAACCTGGATAGGTTGCGGCACTCCTGCACGAATTGGCACGTTTGTCATTTTATGTTTTGATTGGAGGGGCTAGAACAGGGTACTAGTCAGGGTGTTAAACATGTCCTTTTTGGGCCCATGGCGTAACCCATGTCACCATAGGATTCACCCAGGGAAAATTTTACCTGCAAGATGACCTTGCGAACTCCCCATTTGTTGGGTCGCTAAACGGTCCGGCCTATGTGTTTTCCCGGGTTCCCGGACCCTTGGACCCTTAAACAACGTTTTCTCATGGAACGTAATCCATAATTTTGAGGCAATGCCGAAATTGTGGAGGGTAGTTGGACGACCCAGAAGCCCAACAAACAGAAGGGGAGCAGAAAGAGAAGTCAACAAATGTTGTTTTCTCTTGTGAAGCCGAGCAGCGAGCCTTAAAGGTGTTTTTTTGTGGCCCGCGTACTGAAAAGCCTTGCCCCGGGGTTCAACCCCCATTAAAAGAATGGCCAGGACCCAATTTGGATGATGAGATTCTTTAGGAAGCAATGGTTGTTATATTAACCCAACCATTGTTTTAATGGTAGCTGGAGTCCAAATCTTCCTTGAACCTCCACGCCAAAGCCACCCATGGGGGTTCGGGGACCATTGTTCTGGTGGCCTGCCTGAAGCCCAAGTTAGGATACATGAACTCCCTTTGCTTTGCCGGTGGTTTGAACGGGTTTAGATGAAACTAACCATTGATCCCAAGCATTGTTTTGGTGGTGGCCAGCCCGAAGCCCAGGGCTTGGCTGCGAAGTGAAGATTTTTCGGGCGGATCTGAAGTGTCCAGGCGCTGCTGCCAGCGGCGCGGGATGTGCAGGGCGAGGTGCAGGCGGGTTGCGCGGGCGGGGTGCAAAAGGCGGCTGGTGGGTGGGGGTGGGTGGGGGTGGCTGGGTGGGTACGGTGGGTGGGTAAACGTGGGTGGGTGGGTACGGTGGGTGGGTACAGGTGGGTGGGTAAGGTGGGTGGGTAAGGTGGGTGGGTAAGGTGGGTGGGTGTGGCTGGGTGGGGGTGGCTGAAGGGGTCAGGGACCGCGTCCAAGAATGAAAGGCGATTCCAAATCAAGAACATTTAGGAACAGAAGGAAAACGGTCCCAGTGCCCTCAGCCGCCCGGCTCTCAGTGTGCATGGTCATGGTTTGCATTTGTTTGCTTCAGTCATTTTACCTTTTTGAGAGTCTTTCAACCTCACTTCTCTTGTGGAATTCAAGGGCCAGACGCCCCCCTTTCCAAAGCAACCCAAACCAACCCAAGCATTTGCTTTGTCTCTGTCAACTTGTTGGGAACGTTGGTGGTTTGCCATGCGTCTTGGAAGGCGGTCCCGCCAAGGAGGCTTGTATGCGGCTTTCAGCCACTAGCACCCAATGGACCCACACAAAGGGAACTGCCCTCCAAAGATAAGCACAGAACTCCTCAGTTCCTCGACTCGACTTTATTCATGTTTTATCTTGGACCACTTTGGTGGTAAACAGAAAGTTTAGACCTTTATTGGGCCATCTACTGAGAGAGTGAGAAGCATGTAACTCCAAAACGATTCATGTCACATTGAGATTCAATGGTCACAACACCCTCAGACATGGCTGGTCATGAATCCCAATGTACATGATGTACAGAACGTTCAAGCATTTAAATGTCATGCCAATGAGAGGAATCTCCTTTGGCCTCTGTAGGCTGAGGTCTTGTGACTTGCATGCTTGCATCCCCACCAAGGGTACAAGAACAATACCCTCCCCTCAAGTGGAAGCTGATAAAGAGGTGTGGGAACGTTCCCATGGGGCCCCCCCATGTCCAAATCGCCACAGAACCCTCAGAAAGGAACATGGCCACCATGCGCTCCCGCTTCCATGTGCTCTGAGGGGTAGCCCTCTGCATCTTGTTCATTTCCTGTTGTGTTCCCTCAAAAAAGGACACAACCAGCGGGGTTGTTCAAAGGCGATCCTCAATCTTTGGGTTACGCAAGGAGTTGGTGGGCCTTTCTAGTGGCTTCCAAAAATTAGGATTGGCCAACACGAGCCATTTTGAACAGCCCAGATAATTCGGGAACCACTTCAACAGTGGTTGACATGAATCCCCACCAAAGTGATGTCCCCAATAAAGAAGTCACGTTCAAAGGGGCACTGGTTTCTAAAATGGGGGTGTCAGAGAACCCCCGAAAATAGTGGCTCTTCTTTTGGTTTCAATATAGAACCACCAAACACGTGGTACCTTGAAAAAAGACACCCAAATTGCGCCTGTCGTTTGGGCGTAGAATCTTTGCCTCGTTGACCGAGGTGAGCAATCTTTCCAGCGTCGGAGGCTGAGGAAGGGCAACATGAGAGTTTTTCTGTCTGGTCACTGCCATGGTCCCTGTGGATGGAAAATCGAAATCCGTTCTGCACCACTTGTTTGATACCATGGGTTGAAACCATAACGTTGGTAGTTACAGGGGAATCAGACCATTCCTGGGTTTCTTAGGTCTTAGGTGGTGCGAAGTCGATTTCGTCCATCCACATATTTTGGGGAGCGTTCATGTGGGTGTGCATTTTTGCTAGGAATCGGACCCCCCCCAAAAAAAAATAGCAAAACGGTTTTCCGCTTAGTTTCCCTTCAAAACCCCCAACAATCCCAAAAAAGGGTACCAACTCAAAAAGACAGACCCATTTATGGCAAGGAGGCAAGTTGACTGGCTCCGAAACCTAACAAAGCCGAAAGTTTAGAGATCCCCGGAACCGCCTGAGGTGTCAGGCCGAAACACTCTTTAGGCTACCCTTCTGGGAGGTGCCACATGTTCTCTCTGCGTGTGTCGCTTTTAGGGAGACACTGGTTTTCCTCGTGGTTCAGGGCATTGCCTGCCAAACACGCCATGCTCAAATTCCAGATGCTCGTGCTCCCCGGCTGTCTTGTCATGTAACGTGGGCTCTCGACATGCTCCTTTCCTCTTGGTTTCCCTTTTAAACACCAAAAACGAGAGCCTACCTCTTCCCCGTGAAACGACAAGCCAGGCGTAGCCCAAGAAGACGAGAGCCACCCACCTCTTCCTTGTAAAACGACCAACCAGGCGTAGCCCAAGAAGACGAGAGCCACCCACCTCTTCCTTGTAAAACGACCAACCGGGCGTAGCCCAAGAAGACGAGAGCCACCCACCTCTTCCCTGTAAAGCAACCAACCGGGCGTAGCCCAAGAAGACGAGAGCCACCCACCTCTTCCCTGTAACGACCAACCAGGCGTAGCCCAAAAAGACGAGAGCCACCCACCTCTTCCCTGTAAAACGACCGACCAGGCGTAGCCCAAGAAGACGAGAGCCACCCACCTCTTCCCTGTAAAACGACCAACCAGGCGTAGCCCAAGAAGACGAGAGCCACCCACCTCTTCCCTGTAAAACGACCAACCAGGCGTAGCCCAAGAAGACGAGAGCCACCGACCTCTTCCCTAGCCCAAGAAGACGAGAGCCACCCACCTCTTCCCTGTAAAATGACCAACCAGGCGCAGCCCAAGAAGACGAGAGCCACCCACCTCTTCCCTGTAAAACAACCGACCAGGCGTAGCCCAAGAAGACGAGATCCACCAGCCTCTTCCCTGCAAAACGACCAACCAGGCGCAGCCCAAGAAGACGAGAGCCACCCACCTCTTCCCTGTAAAACAACCGACCGGGCGTAGCCCAAGAAGACGAGAGCCACCCACCTCTTCCCTGTAACGACCAACCAGGCGTAGCCCAAAAAGACGAGAGCCACCCACCTCTTCCCTGTAAAACGACCAACCAGGCGTAGCCCAAGAAGACGAGAGCCACCCACCTCTTCCCTGTAAAACGACCAACCGGGCGTAGCCCAAGAAGACGAGAGCCACCGACCTCTTCCCTAGCCCAAGAAGACGAGAGCCACCCACCTCTTCCCTGTAAAATGACCAACCAGGCGCAGCCCAAGACGAGAGCCACCCACCTCTTCCCTGTAAAACAACCGACCAGGCGTAGCCCAAGAAGACGAGATCCACCAGCCTCTTCCCTGCAAAACGACCAACCAGGCGCAGCCCAAGAAGACGAGAGCCACCCACCTCTTCCCTGTAAAACAACCGACCAGGCGTAGCCCAAGAAGACGAGAGCCACCCACCTCTTCCCTGTAAAGCGACCAAGCAGACGTAGCCCAAGAAGACGAGAGCCACCCACCTCTTCCCTGTAAAGCAACCAACCGGGCGTAGCCCAAGAAGACGAGAGCCACCCACCTCTTCCCTGTAAAACAACCAACCAGGCGTAGCCCAAGAAGACGAGAGCCACCCACCTCTTCTCTGTAAAGCGACCAACCAGGCGTAGCCCAAGAAGACGAGAGCCACCCAACTCTTCCCTGTAAAACGACCAAGCAGACGTAGCCCAAGAAGACGAGAGCCACCCACCTCTTCCCTGTAAAACGACCAACCGGGCGTAGCCCAAGAAGACGAGAGCCACCCACCTCTTCCTTGTAAAACGACCAACCAGGCGTAGCCCAAGAAGACGAGAGCCACCCACCTCTTCCTTGTAAAACGACCAACCGGGCGTAGCCCAAGAAGACGAGAGCCACCCACCTCTTCCCTGTAAAGCAACCAACCGGGCGTAGCCCAAGAAGACGAGAGCCACCCACCTCTTCCCTGTAAAACAACCAACCAGGCGTAGCCCAAGAAGACGAGAGCCACCCACCTCTTCTCTGTAAAGCGACCAACCAGGCGTAGCCCAAGAAGACGAGAGCCACCCAACTCTTCCCTGTAAAACGACCAAGCAGACGTAGCCCAAGAAGACGAGAGCCACCCACCTCTTCCCTGTAAAACGACCAACCGGGCGTAGCCCAAGAAGACGAGAGCCGAGAGCCATGGTCTTAGGACATGACGGAGCTGTACGTGCAACATATGGTCAAGGCCGAAGGCCTGGACCCGGATCTGCTGCAGTACATCTACGCCCCTCGGACCCGTTGCAACCGGAAAGCGGCAACATGTTGGCCACATGTGGCTCGCTCGCCCTTTGTCGAGCTTGTCTTTGGTGCGGTTTTAAAGGGAAACCGGGAAAGGAGCACCCGTTTTTGCTGCCGATTTTGGAGGAGTGCCCTAAAAGAGGCACACCCAGGTGATTAATAGCTAGGCCCTCGTCCCCTATAAACTTCAGAAGATCAGCATAGCTGGGCCACAAACTTCTCATAAATGGTCCCAAGTCATGGTTGGTTACTTTGATTCTTAGGTACCAAGCAAATCGCGGTGTGAACTCCCATTTATGTGTGGTGTGTGTGTGTGGGTGTGTGTGTGTGTGTGTGGGTGCGTGCGTGCGTGCGTGCGTGCGTGCGTGCGTGCGTGCGTGTGTGCGTGGGTGCGTGTGTGCGTGTGTGCGTGTGTGGGTGTGGGTGTGGGTGTGTGAGTGTGTGCGTGTGTGCGTGTGTGCGTGTGTGCGTGTGTGCGTGTGTGCATGTGTGCGTGTGTGCGTGTGTGTGCGTGTGTGCGTGTGTGCGTGTGTGCGTGCGTGCGTGCGTGCGTGCGTGCGTGCGCGCGTGCGCGCGTGCGCGCGTGCGCGCGTGCGCGCGCGTGCGCGTGTGCGTGCGCGCGCGCGTGCGCGTGCGTGTGCGTGTGCGTGCGTGCCGTGCGCGTGCGTGTGTGCGTGAGCGTGCGCGTGTGCGCGTGCGTGTGCGTGTGCGTGTGCGTGTGCGAGTGTGTGCGTGGCGTTGTGCGTGTGCGTGTGCGTGTCGTGTGCGTGTGCGTGGCGTGGCGTGGCGGTGGTGGTGGTGGGTGGGTGTGGTGGGTGGGTGGGTGTGTGTGTGTGTGTGTGTGTGTGTGTGCGTGTGTGCGTGCGTGCGTGCGTGCGTGCGTGTGCGTGTGCGTGTGCGTGTGCGTGTGCGTGTGGGTGTGTGTGTGTGTGTGTGAGTGTGTGTGTGTGTGTGTGTGTGTTTGAAGGCACCCTTTCTGGGTGTTGAAGGGAAACCATGTTTTTTGGCTTCCCCTAATTTCAGACATCAGACACGCCCATATATTCATTGTTGCCGTCCAAAAACTGGAACTGGTCGCTGCATTACGCACAACGAGCAGACACATTGGATGTGCCACAAGTTGCGCTTCAGCTGAGAGCTTGATCTAATCCAGACCCTGCAGCGCGGCCCCAAGAGCAACGTCGTTCAGAGTCATGTGGGCGTGTGCACGTGCAAAATCGGAATTAGTCCTCTGGAGGTTTTGGCACCCTCGCGCTGAGACAGAACATGTGCCGGCGCGCAACGAGAACAGGGACACTCGAACTTTCAACATCTACGCGGAGTGATGAGAAGTGATGAGAAAAGCACGCGTGCCGAGATGACCCTCTGGTTGATCACAAGAGGGCCTGGCTCTTGTAGAGCGCAAATGGGGTTGGAAGCCAACAGGGACTTTCTGAGAAAAAACAGACCAACCGCAACATCCATGGTTACTGGTTTATTGTATTTTTTCACATACCCCCAACCCCATTCCATTTATTTCGCCCTCAGTACCTATGGCTTGAGGATGGCTTCGGTCCTTCGACTGAGGAGAGCAGTGGCGGCAACCCTTCGGGGGTGGAGATCGTGGTGTCGGAGCTGCGAAAGAGCAGCCGCATCCAGGTTCGGGAGGCCTTGTGGGGGAGGGTGATGCTGGGGGTTGGTACCAAGGTGGGGAAGGGCCTGGGGGGGGGGGGGAAGGGCCTGGGGGGGGGGGAAGGGCCTGGGGGTGGGTGGCCTGGAGGGGGGGTGGTGTGGAGGTATGCTGGGGGGTAGGTGCCAAGCAAGGTCTGCAGATGAGAGCCCCCGCCTCTCGAGTTCCTTGAGCCTGAGGGAATCTCCGCCCTTGGACCACCTTAGGGTCTCCATTTGTGGGTTGGACACTGAAGGAAACCCACTATGTGTTCTTATTGGTACAGCTGACGAACGGAGAGTTACTTTTCGTTCGGGCTTGCTATCCAAGAAAGAGGTGAGTGGTGAACGGAACTCATCGAACACCAGGGCCTTTGTCAAAGAGCCCTTTGATTCTGTTGGGGGCTGCAGCACAATTTGGTTTGGGAGCCAAATCAAAGCCACTCGTTTGCAGCGACCAAAACTTTTGGCATCCTTTTCCTTGAGGCCTCCACGCCAAGGTCACATCGCTTAGGCAACAGCAGTTGCGCTATCAGGCAACTGCCATTTCCTTGACCTTGGACCCTGAAAAAGCAGGCCTTTGGCTGAGTCTCTTTCTTCAACCAAGAGCAAAATCAAAAAGGACCCTGTTTTTCAGGTCCTTGAAAGACCCAGGATTTGGTCCTACTGCTGGATCAAGCCCTTTCATTCTGCTGATTCTACCCATATGAATATGACATATGGGTGGTGGCGGTGACCTGATTTCGGGGCGGGGTACGGGCAGTCAGGCGGGTATCTCTCTGCCATGCGCGAATTCTCGCACATGCTTGCAGCATCCGGCGTACGCATTGTTGATTCTGATTTGTGTTTAATGAGCCGTAGCAGGAATGATCTGGCTGAGCGACATCAGGATAACGATGGGTGTGTATGTTTCGAGAGTACCTTTTGTTTGTGGTTTTGAACGAAAGCCAAAGAGAAAAGCCAAGCCAATGTGGGGGGCCCAACCTAAAGCCGACACCCATATCGTTTGTGTCATGGATTCCTTAGCAAATGGGAAGCAGTGCCTTGAGGCTTGCGAACCCGGGCAGCCTCTGGATGGTTTCCTTCTGGATTCCCTGTGGAACCAATGCCCAAGGCAGGTAAAACAAGTTTCTTGGGAGCCACGGAAAAACAGGGTTTATGCTAGGTGGGTTTATACGGACACCAAAAGGAAAACCGCCGTTTCAGGGTTCCCTTTTTTTTGACACATACCCAGATCTGTCTACTAGGCCTTTGCGCACTGACCATTCATTTATTTTCTCTCTTACCACGGGATACAAGCCTCTAGTCAAGCTAGAACTCATGATTTCTACTTAGAGATTGAGTCGTCACTGTCACACAATCAACACATGTCAATTGTTTGGCATGACTCAGTGGTGAGACTCAAAAAGTGAAATGGCAATATCAAAGGGGAACCCACCTGGAGGGGTCCTCCAAGTTTGAGCACCACATAGAAACACACGAGTAAAAACGACCCATACAGATTCCTCAAACATGATCTCAAACATGGGACCCGGATGTTCGTGTTGACACCCAAAGCCTGTGCAGGTGCAGAAAAAAAGGTGTTGTTTGACCACATGCAACAAGCTTTTGTTGGTTGAAAGAAAACTGAAGGAACAAAAACACAGTCAGTTGAGAAGCATGCTGTTTCAACGTGTTGGTCCGCCCAAGCGCTCGGCAACCCACCCCAACTAGGTCCCCCAGTAGTGCCCTTTTGCCCCTTTTTTTGGGAGGGTTCCCGTGCTAAAATAGACAAAACTGAGAAACAAGCTCGGGTACCAACTTATTCTAACCTCTCAAATCTGGAGGACCTAGTTGGTTTCCTTCCTTTCGGGCCCCCCGGTTGGTTTGAGTCGCAAACCGTCTCTGGCTTCGCCTTGGCCAAACAAGAGAAGGAAACAAAAACGGATTCGCGCGCGCGCGCGGATGCGCGCGCGGATTCGCTTCAGGGCCGGCTGGAGCTCATGGAGGGCATGCGACTGCGCCGGGACAGCCGGGGGGGGGGGGGGGGTTCAGCTGTTGGAAGCTGAAGTACGACTTCCATTTGGTTAAGAGTAGGTGTTGTTTTTGTTCTTTAAAGAATAAATCCACTGTTGGTTTTAAAGGGAATCTATCAAAGAAATTCCATTTGGTCCAGCGAACGGAGTGGGACTGGCGAATGTTGGTGATGTGGGAGCCAGAAGTTGGGTGGTCCTTCCATTTGCTGAAATGAATATGTTTTTCATGTTCCCCGGGTGGTTTTTAAGGGAATCTATCACTACTGGAAATAGTTTCTCATTTTTTCCAGGGGACTGAAGCCAATGGAGGACGAGTTGACGCCTGGAAGGGCGAAGTGGTGTGTCTAAAGCCCACAACTCCATTCTCACTACTTCGGGCCCCAGTATATACACCAGTAGTTGGAATCAAAGATCATCGGAAATCCTTCAATCACTTCATGTCAGGGTCAAAACTGGGGAAGGTGAGTGGTGGCCAATGCTTGAAAATTAGTCCTCGTGGTTTTCCAGCACCCGCCATTTGGGCTCACTTCCCGATTCTTGGACTTTGAGCTTTTTGGAAAGCCCATTCTAGTGGTAAATAAATTCATGTTTGGACAATCTACTCAGGAAGTGACTTGCGTGTGATCTTTTGTTGGGGGGGGGGACCCCCCAAAAGACTTTTGGTTGTCCTTTTGGTTTCCCTTTCAACCCAGCCTTTTGGTTTGGTCCCCTTAGTTTGACACATAGGATTTGCGGAATCCATGGCACCTAGCTGTAAGGGATGCCACCTTCTCTTCCCATGGAAATCTGGGCATCTCGCTCTCTCTCCTCTGCTCGGTTAGCGCTCCTTATCGCAGGAGTACCCGGAGGCGTTGATTGGCATCGCGCTGGCGGCCTTCGAGCAACTGAAGCCCTTGCAGCAGGACTTGGCCACCCGGCGATGGACGCGATGGACGCGATGGACGCGCCGTGATTCCATATCCCTAAGGGCAGGTAACTGGAACTGGTCATGATTTCGATGGTTTCTGGGGGTTATCAAAGTCAGAAAATTGCGGGTGGTTTCCCTTTAACCCGCCACTTGGAGGATGACTTTGGTCATTGTAAAATAATGAGGCCAGGGTAACCAGAACCAACGGAACCAGCCTTTGAACTGCCAAAAGGCAACAAATGCGCAGCGGGCGCCGCGGCGTTCGTTTTGATGCCGGTGACTATTTCCCCAGACACAAAGGCGGTGCGTTGGGTTTTGAGGCAGTTTTTGCCAACAGGTTGACAACTAATCCAGTGATTCCATTTACCTGGTAAAGGCAAGCAAGGGCTTGCGAGCCTTCAAAGCGCCAAAAGGGGAAAAAATCCGAAGGGTGACCTGGGATCCACTGGGCTCGGTGCGTGGTTTTGAGGCCGTCAGAAATCTTTGAACCAAGTGGGTGTGTCTTTTAAGGACACCGCTGTTTGGGGTGGTTTAAAGGGAAACGCAAAGAACAAGCACCATTTTGGGGGGTCGACCTCGAAAAAGACACCCAAGTGCTTACGGTACGTTCAACAAACCTTGGACTGTTGCTCCCTTCAACGAACGTGTTTGGGCCAGGTTTGCCTACAGAATCGATCAACAAAACGGTGTCCTTTTTGCCGTGACCTTCGAGCAACTAACAGGATGTTATTGTTCGATAGTTAATGTGGCAACTGTACTAGCCATGGAGATAGCCATGTGGGAACCGATATGAGGCATACATTACACCTCACACATCACACATACACAAACACATCAGAACTTGATTTGTGCATCATATATATTGGGATTCATTTCCTCCAGATATTTTGAAATCTTACCTACTTATGGCATGGCCCCCCTCAAAATGAAGGACCCCTTGGTCAGTTGCCAGCGCCCATGGTTAGTAAGAGACAGTCCCAGCCAGAAATAGGTGGGTTGTCTACATGCTTTTGGGTGCCACTTTAATGACACATGGCACGGGCACTACAGCCTTTGCCTCAATCCTTAACCATCACCGCAAGATCGAAAGACGAGCCACACAGAGACTTTCTACGTTTTCGCTTTGTTCAGTTTCCTTGACCAACCGGATGCATGTGTTTCTTCAAGGTAAAACTCGGCCATTAAAAATAGAACCTTTTCCAGCAGACCGAAACGAAACCTCCTGTATAAATTTTCTTTTTGGCGGGGAAAATGCTTGGGGGATGATATGAGAACCCCTGCTTAAGCAGGGGCCACCCAAAGCTTGTCGATTTTCGTGCTATATTTTATGATACAAAGGAGCCAACAAAAGCGCATTTGGCCACTGTTTAGTTCTTCCAACCAGTTCGGTCCATTTGTTTGGCTTCTCCTTTTGCTCCCGTTTTATTGGTTTGGTGCCTGGACCCTCAAGCCTCAACAAATGGAGGGGGGATCTGGATCGAGCGAGTTCAGCCATATTTCAGGATACCCGTCAAAGGCGTCCTTTTTTTTGGTCCCTTTGGCTCCCTTTCCCCGTTATTGGGTCCACGAGGGCCTTCAGAACTCAAGGCCCTCGTTTTCCTTTTTGGTTTTGGGTCTCCAGAAGGATTTGATTCTTTTGGGTAGACGAAACTTGGTCGTTCCCAGCCAGAACCTGAGACAGGTTGAGAGGTGTTTATCTGACATATTCCGCTCAAAGGTTAACTTTCAGCAAGGGATCAGCGAACCACTGGGAAAGTAATTTTGATATGACACGTCGTCCGAAAATACTCGATTTTCGGTGTAGATTCACACAAAGGTGGCTCAGGAAGTGAGATCAGAAAGGCCCCATTGAACAAGGTTGTTCCAGAGTTTCGACAAGGCCCTATTGGCCAAGAAAACAATGGCTGCACGTACTTGTTGATCCATTGGCTGGGCCGAGTCAGGTGAAGAACATCGCCATGTGCAGCCAGGAGGCAGACGCCGAGGCCGAGTATTTGGGTTTGAAGCGGTTTTCGATCGAAAACCTCCATGGATGGTAGTGTCCCTCTTCTTGGGGATCCCTGATTTCAGGCATATGTTTGTTCAGGTGTTGGAATTGATGTCAATGTAGCAGGAAAAACAAGTTGTTACACTTAACATCCTCGAGGAAGCTTCTTTGGGGACGAAGGATCCCTTTGTGGGTTCCATACAAGGGCCACGTTCGAATGTGAAGACACCTCTTAAATTCCCAATGGATTTGGTTGGACTCGCTAAAGGTTGTGATGCTCGTCACATCCAGATCGCAGGGTCACAGGGAGGTAAAGTGCGCAACTTGAAGTGTCACAGATGATTTCTCAAGTCCGCGCTTGTCTGTTTTACCCGACTCCGCAAAGTGAGCTGGTGATTTTGGGAAAATTGGAGCGACTGAGGGTGACAACGGGCTCCATGAGAATTCCTAGACTTCTTTCCGATTTGTGAGCAGTAATTTGCCTTGATTTCTGACCCTTGATTTGATTAAGTCATGGTGATGCTCTTTCGTATTACAGGAAAGGGTTTCAGGGACCAGCAAACGAGTACCCACTTACCAACTGTTACCCCGTGACAGGGGGCTCCTGGAAGACCATTTTCCTTCAAAGGACCCCCTGTCAGATTCCATGTTAATTGGTGGAAGGGTAGGTTGGATGTTTAGACTTTATCTTTTGGGTTGTTTTTGTAAGGTTTCCAAATTGAACCCACAAAAAGTTGAACTCACTTTTCGCAAGAAGGTCGAGTAACCCTTAGTTAATGCTTTGGATTGATGGTTTGGGGATTTGAACCCCTGCTTCTTGTAAGTGGTGAATGGCAAACAACCCCTTAACCATCAAACCACCAATCCACACCACCCACACTGGGAGGAAACTTAAAAGGGGCATTGTAGGAAGTGGTTAGTAAGCCCGCAACCCACGTACCATGGTTATAAGTCTCCCAGTGCATTATAACCACTTGCCCCTTTAAGAACTGGTTGGTGGACCTTTTTGGATACACAAAGTACATTTTACCAGTGACTCAAAGTTGGTCCAGTGGCTCAAAGTGAAGCAAACACTGACATATACATCTCAGTTGTTCAATGGCACCAATTCTTTTTCCAACTTTTTTTGTGGTGGCTGCCCCACTAAAATGGTCCAAGCCCAAAAAAGGGTTCCCTTTTTTTCCCAGGGTCACTGAACAACTGAGACATTCTATGACTGGGCCTAACTCTAATCGTGAGAAGCTGAGACGGGTTGCAACGGCGCTTGCCGGATCGAGGTGCTGAACCTCGAGGACCTCGCGGAGCGGCTTGGGCTGAATTCGAAGGAATGGGCGGTGGATGGAAAAGTCGCAGCTTGGTTTGGGGAGCCGATTTCGCAGCATTTGTGTGTGGGTTTCGCAGCATTGTGTGTGTGTGGGTTTCGCAGCATTGTGTGTGTGTGGGTTTCGCAGCAGTTGGTTTACATACATTGTCTTGGGCAGACGATGTTAATACCCTCCATTTGCTGAAATGAACATGTTTGAGTTTCGCCTGTTGGCGTTTAAGGGAATTTCACTCTGGACATGTGTTTCTCATTTTTTTCCAGGGGGCTGAAGCAAATGGAAGTGGACAGGTCGCAGTTTGGTTTGGTTTGGGTCAAAAAAAGCTGGTTCATGTGTCCCGCGGCACGCACCTTGGCCGGCGGCGGTCATTCGAGTTTGGCGCCAAGGGCCCAACGAAGTCAACGAAAAGCCGCCCAGGGCGTTCCTTTTTGGGACATGAGATGTTCCGAATTCAACAAAAGCCGGCCACAAAAAGTATCCTTTTTTGGGACATGGCCGCGTTTCCCTTGGCCGCTTGACGCGGGCACCCTGAGAAGAAAAACATATGGCCACCGAACTCTGTAAGGGAGCCCTAAAGTGACACACTCCTGTGTATAGTCAAACCATCGCTCTTGTGTTTGCGGTTAGTAAGGAAAGTAATGAACGTCACTATTTCAGACATGAGCCAATGTTAGGGATCTGAAACAAAGGGGAAACAGCACCACAAGCCATAGCTGAAGTTCTCACCATGGCACACATGTCCGGTTTTGCGGCACGATTTGGTTTCAACTCGTTTTGGGCATGTGTTGATCTGGTTGTGTTGGGGCATGTGTTGGTGTGGGGCCTGCGTGGGATTCCCATTCGAGCCGTGTCCATGGTCCACACACAAAGTTTACCAATGGCGTACGCAGGCCGACAGCAACGTTGATTCTTGGGCTTGGTTGACTCTGCAAGGGGGATTTTGTTTTAACAGGCAGCCCCTGGTCACCTGCAAAGGAAAGGTGGTTTGTTCAACAGTTCATGGACTTTAGTCACTTTTTGAGGTTGGACCATGTTAGTGGTAAAAACACAGTTCCTGGACGTTCTTGGGCCAATCCACTCAGGAAGTGAGTTTACTTCCGCAATGTTACCTTCGGTTTTTCTGTTTGTTTCTGTTGGATAAATGAAATGTGAGCCCTGGATTCTTTTGGTGTCCTAAAAAGACTCCCAACAACCTCCAACCATACAACTTCCCCAGAAATATTTCGCTCCGCTTTTTCGAGTTCTTGCTTTTTTGGGGTCCCCTTTGTTTTCAAGAAACATTTCGTTTGTTGCTGCGGTCCTTCTTCCAACCATAGGTGTCCGGTATAAACATCTTCCCAGTTGCTTAGTGGCGCCCTTGTTCCCCTTTTTGTGGGAAGGGTTCCCCTTTAAACTCAACTACCTGAAAACTTGGTGGCTCCCAGCCATCCCCTTAGCCTTTTAGTTTTTTAGTGTGTAGTGACTAAGTTCCATTTAACACACTAAAAGTTAGTCACTTGCGGGGGATCAGAAAACGGGCAGCCCAGAAAAAGGATGCCAGAAACATCTTCCCAGTTGCCCAGTGGCGCCCTTGTTCGCCTTTTGTGGGAAGGAGTGTCCCTTCAAACTTTCAACTACCTACCTAAACAAGGCTTCCTCCTTTTTATCCCCCATAAAAATCCCCCCCTCCCCCCCTCCCCCCGATCATCTGAGTCGTAGCGAACGGCCCAAGCTGAGGGCCTTGGAGTGGGACTTCGATCAGCTGCAGCAAGACTGCGCCCGGCTGGTGACGCAAGGCCGGCCAGCCGAGAAGCGGGACGAAGAAAGTCGCCTGAAATGTGTCGATGGGTTGGGTGGCGTGCTACAACAAGTTTCGGGTAATTAGGCGAAATATGTGGATCTGTGTTACTTGTTTATAATATTTTGTTCCGGGTAGGCGAAATGTTTATTGATCTCGTGCTACATGTTTTTTTGCGGGTAGGCAAAATATATGGGTATGGGTTAAAATGAAACCACCGGTTCTAATTCCCAGGGTTCCGTTTCGCGTACCTATTTTCACCCACAGCCATATGGATCTGGGGAACCACTTGTAAAGCGGTTGGCAAGAAGTCTGACGATTTGCGGGGTCTTCTCCAAAATTGGTGCGATGTGGTAGGGTAGATTGAATATGGATATGGGGAACCACTTCCAAAGTGGTCGGCGGATTAATCCCCACCGAAGTTTGCAGTCCACCAGTTCGCGTCCCTAATTGACATTCACACCCAAATCCCTTTAGTAGTGCTAATTCTACTTTAGTATTGCCAAGGCTGACCCTCAGATTCCCAGTACTTACTTTAGTATTGCCAATTCTACTTTAGTATTGCCAAGGCTGACCCTCAGATTCCCAGTACTTACTTTAGTATTGCCAATTCTACTTTAGTATTGCGGGTCAGATTCCTAGCACTTGCTTTAGTATGCCAATTCTACTTTAGTATTGTCAAGGACCTTTTCTTTTTTTCAGCAACCACCAAACAGGTTAGACACTAAAGAGGACCTCAAAACAGTCGCATTAAAGAGGATCACGGCCCTTGGTGGGCACCCCCCCCCCTTTGCGTGACTGTTTGCCCGTACTTTTTTGTAAAGAAGTTATCTTAAATTTGATGGTTTGGGGGCCACTGGCAAATGAACTTCCTAGATCCAAGGCCTTTACCCTTTGAGCTGGGAAGAGCTTGGTTAGGTGAACCGCCCTAAAAGTAAAAGGCTAAGGCTTGAGTCTAATAATTTCAGCAACCCAAAAAGCCGTTGGACACTAAAGAGGACCTCAAAACAGTCACTTTAAAAGAGGATCAGGGCCCCTGGTGGGCACCCCTCTTTGTGTGACTGTTTGCCTGCACTTTTTTGTAAGGAAGTTATCTTAAGTTTGATGGTTTGGGGACCACTTAAAAAGATCCTGTTTGCCCGGATTTGTTTGCTCGGGTTTTTTGCTCGACTTCTTTGCCAAGTGTGTTTGGCCCATATTCTATCGGAGACCTTGCCCTAGACAAGATCAGGAGAGTAAAACAAGAGCCCTTTTGTTTTTGTGTTTTTTGGTTGGGGGGGGACAATTGCTGCAAGTGAGGACCCCAAAACAGTCACAAGATCCTGAATTGCGAGAAAAAAGCTACAATAGAGTGGACTATTAATAAAGGAGGTGTAACATTATATGTTCCAACAAATCTTCCAGTGGAATCCATCGATTTGTCCTAAGTGCGTGCGTGACCCACTTTGTTTGCAGTTGATTCACCCCCAGTCTTCTCTCACTTAAACTTCATGCTCATGTTCTCTTGGGGAAGCACAATTTGCAACTGTGTCCAGTGATTCCATCTCCCTGTGTAGGGAGCCCACAACCAAGGGAACCACCTCTAAGAAGAGGAAAATGGCGAAGGGCTACCCAGCATAGTGGTAACTGGGATCCACTGGGCAGGGCTGACTTTTTTTTTTAGCTTCAAAGGGAAGCCAAAGCACTGCCGCCTCGAAATCGGGGTTCTAAGTCCTGTTTTGGAGACAAGCTCATGTGTTGTGCACGTCCAGGCTGGTCTTGAATTGAATTGTTGTCCCTTGGAGGCTGGCAAGCTCCAGGTAAATAGACCCACTGGAATACTCTCAAAAAGAGGTGGGTGGATGTAAATACGACCGACCATGTAAGCACGAGAATCTCACAACGACTGGTCTACTGTCGGATTTGCGGAGGACAGAACGGGTGTCCACCCCAATTCCGTACTTTGTTTTACTTCTTCTTCTTTTTTTGGGGGGGGAGTGAACCCAGAACAACAACAACCATTTTGGGAGGTCTCCTAAAAACGACACACCCATAGGATGTTCCCGTGCCTTTTTGGCTTCAAGTGCTCAAGTTGCCCTGTGCGTGGTCGACCCCCCTCGTAGTGAAGGATTCCTTTTTGAGGGGGTCGCCCATTTTCTCACAAAAGGTGGTGAAAAGACTCCCCTGGGCGGGAACAACACAAATTGATTGAAACTTAGATGGCCCGGGCTGCAGATTCATTAAGCTGGGAGGTTGAATTTAGAGCTTCTTGCCAGTCCTTGTTTGCTAAGAGCGGTTTGGCATTTCTCGTCTTAAGCTTTGGTGAACCCGCATCTCCACAGCCAAATCAATCAGGAAGCATGCGTTCGGCTCATCAAAGGCTCGTGAAGTGGATGCAGCGCGAGCGAATCAACAACTATCACATCACTTTGCTTTGCCTGGCACTAAACGCTTGGTGAATGCAATGTCAGTTGATTGAGATTTTAGTTTGGAGTTATCGTTATCAGTAAATATGTTGCTTCTTGGTTTCACATGTAAATCATCACGCAGATAGAGTCTGCCGCTTTGAGCGGATGTTTGAGTATGAGAACTCTGCTGAGGCAAACGTGGCATTCCATGCCGGAAACCAACGCCCGCGCAGGTGTCTTCCGCCCTGTGATGCCGCTGCCCAAGAGGATGACGCGCAGGAACCTGGCATCGGGCTGCTTGGCCGCGATGCCATGGGTGCAGGGGGGGCCCCAACATCTGATTTGTCTGCGATCCGTTTGGGTTGGGACATGAAGGAACTCACACAAATTGCCAAGGTCATTTGCTGTCCGCATATTTTGACTCATGTGATTCATGTGAGTCACCTGGTAAGGGAGCAACAGACAATACCCGTCTACTCCTGCTGGGAAGGACATGCGGGCTTGTGGCTCAGATTTGTCTTTGGGTTCCGGATCCGTTTCTTCAAAAGCTGACGGCTTCATTCTGACCACGGGTAAAGTGCACCCCTTGTACCCGACCAGAAAGGCTGCTTTTAGGATGAGGAGACCCCAAGAATGTCATATTACTTGCCTCCCAAAAGGTTCCTCTCTGATTTCAGCACCGGCCCCGAGTCAAAAAATGAGTCGGACACCGATCCGAGTGCTTGGCCTCACTGGTTCAGCGCTAGCAGAAGGAGCTCCTGGACTAGTTCCCGGCCCTACAAGTGGCCAATCCGAATCCAATTCCCACAAGCCAACTCCTCAAAACCTGGTTGTTGTTGGAAAACATTTTGCATTTTGCTTATTGTGGTTTAGTGGTTGAAATCCACACTTGGCTGCCGAAATTTGACGTTTTTTTGCTCCCCTTCCAACGTCAACCAAGAAAACATGGCCAGATCAAATGGTTTCCCTCCCTCACTTCCTGAGTTCATGAACTCTAAGCTTTTTGGGAAGACCATTTTAGCGGCAGGCAGAAAGTTTAGACCTTTTCTGGCCAGTCCACTCAGGAAGTGAGCTCCTTTCTCCCGGCAAAATGGTGACTTGCCGGAGTCAAGCCGGAAGGAAAAGGGATCCGAGCCGTACCCGTCTACCCTGGGACCTGGGATCTTGCAGCAAAACCTGTGTACCTCGCTGAGTCACTTTTAGGTTTGGACCAGTTGAGTGGCAAGGACAAAGTTTGGACTTCTTCTGGCCAGTCCCAGGATGTGAGAGGGGTGAAGGCCATTCGGCGCTCCCATTTTTTGGGGCCAATCGGGTAGTTCTGAGGCTCACAATCCTCGCTCACCTTCACCCCCAGCGCAGGATGGGCTCGGTGTCGATGGGACCCAGGGGTCTCCAAAACGATTCCAGTAGGCCAAGTGACATGGAAACCCGACAGCTGCCTGGACCCACAACAACCACCCAGAAAAAAATGGGAATCCAAAATTCGGAGATGATTTCCCATTTGGCCATGGGTCAAAATCCCGTACCCCCCGTGAGCATCCCAATCCCCGCTAAAATAGACTACAATGAGTGGTGCACCTACTGCCAAAATGGTACCATTGGTTTTGACCCACAGCCATTTGAGTGTCCAGGTGAGGAGCGGAGTCTCCGTTTGAGGGCTAAGGGCCCTCTCTTGGGCAACAATTTGCAGGAGAGTAACCCCTGGTTGAGCAACAGGGGGCACGTATTTTAGACAGGCGACCTAGAGCACGTTTGGGGGAGTTGCATCTGCTAATCCATCAATTGTTGTCTGAATCCGGGGTCAACATGACAGAGAACGAATCCATTGATTCCGTATTACAGTTGGGAGGTTGACACAATTTCCCAATTTGGGTTTGGCCATCACGTTTTACTTGCCCGCATCAAGGGAATGATGGCTTCTACTTTTGCCCTGGTGCAGTCAGAAGGTTCTTTCCATAGATCATTTCTCCACTGGAAAAGGGCCCTTTATCCGGTTTTATGAGCCCAAAGTTGACGCATTCGAGAGGGGCCACTGGGTGCCACCACACTTCGGAAGCATATGTTGTTCCCACAGGAAGTTGTGAGGACACCTTGTTGGGGTGAGCAAAAGACCGCCTTGAGGAGATGTCCGAGTTGTGGATAGTCATATGGAAGCTGATTGGAGGCCTTTGGAAGACGATGTTACTGCAACAATGCACATGCAACGCAGGGCATCCCCTACCCTTTTTATTGTATGGAGGCCCATATAAACCCTGGTAGCCATGTCGATAGAACCAAGAGTCAAAGCCGGGCGCTGCCGGCTCGCGCCCGCTGGCGCAGGCAACTCGCCCGCGCGCGGAGCGCGGCGCCTGCCCAGCGACATGGAGCTCTGCGCGATTTCCTTCGGCTCCCAGCTGCTGCGGCACGTGGCGCCGTCCCCGGCGCGTTGCAGTCGCGACACCCGGAGGTGTGAACTTAGTCCCCGAGGTTTCCTGGACTTCAGCCCAGAGGGTCCAAGTACCTCATGAGGATGGCTTTTGGGGGGTAAGGACCTCCTTAGAAGGTACCAAGGGACCCTCTGGGCAGGTACTTGTTGAGCCCATCTTGGTGGTAAATAACCACTGGGGTAGACTTAGGATGCATTTTACATTTTACCCGTGACTCAAAGTGAAGCAAACAATAAAATATGCTTCTATAATTGGGCCTAACTCTAATCGTGACCAGTTGGGCTTTTTGTTTGGCCAATCCACTCGATCGGAAGTGAGATGAAATGAGTCAGGGTTAGCAAGGTGAGTCAGGGTTTACAAAGGCTCACTTCCTGAGTTGATGGACTTTAAAACTTTTTGGAAAGACCATTTTAGTGGTAAATAAAAAGTTCAGACTTTTTTGGCCAGTCAACTTGGGAAGTGAGAGTAGTAGGGGTTGGTAGCTTAGGGCATCTTCCGTCAGTTTTTTCATGGGTCTCTTCTTGGCCCAACTCCCGAGCTCGCCCATCCCAATAGCGGCCGCTGTCGCATGGGTCTTGTGTTGCTCTTGGTCGTAGTTTTTGCCCTTCAAGCGACAGATCCCGAAAAGTCCCGAAAGGGACTTGGGCATGTCTTTTTTCAGCGGAAGCCCGTTCTGGTTGGTTTTGAAGGGAAACCAAGAGGGAAACCACAGTTTTGGGGCCCCGTAAAAAAGCCCGCTTGAACTACCCTTAAACATGGGAAATCGCCGCAACGCGGTGTGCGGTTCTGGGGAGACCACAGGGCAGAGACGAGGGCCCTCGCAATTTTGAGGCCCCTTCCAACAGTGTCGCTTCCCTCAACATGGAACTCATGGAGCCCAACAAAGAGGGGTTCAAGGCCGAAGGTTTTGCCAAACAATTTGAGGAGGCGGCCCCCCAAAACGAGATTCCTCTAGTTAAACGCGAGGGTCTTGAATCTCCATGCTGACTTTCCGGAGGTGGGCCTAAGAAGTGGGGAATCGCGCTGGGCGGGGGTTTGCGAGGTTCAAAGAAGCCGATTGAATGTGGGTTGAGAGATAGTTAGCGGGAAGGATGTCAAGGGTTGACGAGCTAGTTGACCGCAGCCGAACCATTTGGGTGTTTTCTCCAAATTGCGGACCCCTCCAGGAGGGTGTTTCCTTTTGACTTTTGGCTTCCTCGTAAAGCTATCCAAAAAGGGGGCCCTTATTTTGAGACACCCCCCATCTCTTCACTGATCGTGTCCGAGGTCCTTTCGTTGGTGCTGCATTCGCAGACAGCGCCCCGGTTGCAATGTTTCGGGAGTGCCGAAAATAGACTTTGATTGAACAAGTGTGGGGTACCTGGTACTTCCCCGTGTAGTACTCAGACCTTTTCCCTCACAAAAACACGGGAGTACTTCAAAGGATGCCTTAAAAGTACAGCTCTCCAAGGGTGTGTTTTTGTGCAATTGGAGAGCTTGCATGGGAGTTTCTTCAAAGTTGCTTGCTGTGAGTTTGAATGGGATGCTGGCTTCCCCTCGGTTCCTATTTTTGGGTGTGTCTGTTTTTCGGGGACCCCAAAATGGTCCGGTTTCTTGTTGTTTGTCTGAAACAACCAGCCCCAAAAAGGGGTACCAACTCCAAAAGGACATGGCAATACTCATTTTCGACGGGGAATTCCCGTCGACATGGCTGGACAAAAGCCCCCGGATTTTGATGTCCCCAGGTTCCCAAGTTCTGAAAATCACACCATGCATCAATATGTTTCCTGTGGAACGCGTCTGTTGTTTTTGGTGTTTGTTTTTCGTGATCAGGCATCCGCTTTGTTTCCAGCTGATCCACCCCCCGGCTTGCTGGGCGAGTGGTTTGCCCGAGAAAGATAAAGCAAACAAAATAGCAAAGGACAAGAACAGGCAGAACACACACCGCCAAACACGTGCTGTATTTCCGGGCAACATATTGCGGCACAGAGAGGTTTTGCGACCTCACTCATCAAGGTTCCTTGTTTGAAGGTTCTTCTTATTTAGTTATAATTCACCCAAACAATTGCAAGTGCAACAAATTGCGCCTGAATTGTGCAAGGATCACTGATTTGTTTAGCGTGTGCACAACGTGGCTTGTTAAAAGTGCCCTACAACCCCGCACTAACTATTTAGCTCCTCGTAGTATATTGGTGTTTCCTAAGTTTGCGACCCCTTGTAGGATGGATTCAAAGAAACCAAGAGAGAACCCACCGCACACGAGGTCGTCCCTAGTTTGGGAAACACCCATATCCGAGCAAGTCCCAATATTCACAAATGTGGCTGAATGATGCATGCGAATGTGTGTACATGTGTCTACAGCACGTGAAAGCTGTATGCATGCATTGCATGCATGCGGACAAACTGGCATGCATCCGTGTGTGCCTTTTTGTGACATTAAATGACTTGAAGGACAAACCGTAGGGCCCCGTCCCAAAAAAAATCAGAAAGGCCTTCTTTTCAGAAGCCGAACAAGGCTCTAACAGCCCTTTTATGGGGTCCGAAAGGTTTTCCTGCGATACGTGATCCCAGTTTTTGCTGCGGGCGCGAGAGCAAGGAGCGGATCCGAAGCAAACTGCCTGATGAGCAGCCGGAGCCGCGGGAGGAGTCTGGAGAAGGGCGGAGGGTGGTCTTTGTTACTCCCCGGAACCACGTGGGCAAATTCTAAGAACACGTTTCGGGGGGGGTGGCGTCCTTAATTTATCCATTGAAGGCTTCTCCAAATTTCATATGGTTTAAGGGTTGGGCCACTTTCGTGCGAAAAAGGAACATGCTCAAACCGACATTTCTCAGACAGCCTTCCCGGGGACCTGCTGTTTGCCTGGCGGTGAGCCAGACCCGTGTCTGAGTTTCGGTTGGTGAATTATAGCCAGTCAGACCCAACGGTCATCCCGTGTCAGTGGCTGGGGGGTAGTGGAAGCCGGAAACCAACTTAGATTTGTGTTGCCTGGGCAGTGGTTTGGGGGAGATTGCACCTCGCAAAAGGATAGATCCGCCGTTTTCACCAGTGGTTGTGGTTTGGGGGGAGTTGGAACCGACAGGTCTTTTGGAGAGCGAGGTTGATTTCTCTTCTCTTCACCCAATCTTTCTGGAAACCACTCATTTCCTCTGGGTTTTCAGCTATTTGCTGAAGGGAAGGATCCCCGAGCAGAATCCAGAGGGTATGGCCAGAAGAGGGGAACAACCCAAAAGCCCACAAAAGCCAGAATGACCATCCAATTTTCCCACCCAGACTATACCAAGCCTTTTGCTTTTGTGCCCGTTCATGTCTCCTTTTAACCTGCAGCAATTTCCCTTATTTTCCCCTTCGGGTGGTTTTCAACATCACCTTTCGGGCCAACCCGAAGTGAGGGCAACCCGCTCGGTGGCTCTTGCAGGGCACCCCCCAGATTTCAAGAGGTGCTCAGGATTCAAGATGACATCGCATGTGATTTTTGGGGGGCTCGGTACCCCATTGGGGTCGGTTTAAACGAAACTGAAAGGAACCCCATCTTTTTTGGGGGGTCCAATCCCTTTGACACAGACCCTGAGAATTAAAGAAACAAAGAAGCTGGCCACGCTCTCAAGCACTAGCAACCTGCCCCTCCGCAAAATGTGTGTGTGTGTGCTTTGTTTGTTTTAGGGTGTCCTTTTAGTTGGTACTAAGGGACACCAAAAGGACGCCCCCATTGTTTGGGTCCGCCTATTTTGACCTGCCACGTTTCTTCGATTCACGTTCGGCTTGCACACATCTTCTTGGACTCTTTGTTGGACGAACCGACTGCTTCTGTATGCTCCAGGTGTTGCGAGTTGTTTCTGCCCCATCAAGAATCAGTTCGAGCTGCTGAAAAGGGGGCCCGGCCTTTCGTTGGGTTGCAGCTGTGATTGTTTTTTGGGTCAGACCAGTCTAAAGAATCCAGCTTCAGGTATCCTAACAAATCTAAAAGAACTTCGCCCGGACCTTTGGCTGACCCTTTGCTGGAGGCGTTTTAAGGCGTTTTAAGGCATCTGCCCATTCGCCTAAAGGTGTATGTACCCCCCAGCACATGTGTTTGCTTTTTTCTTGGGGCTGGCTCCAACCTGTCGCGAGGAGGTTGTGATCGGCGAGCCGGTGAGGAGTGCAGATAGTGATGCCATGGTCCAGGAAACCTTTTGAGTGCGGGCCGAGGCTTCCGATTTGGCCAAGATGAACTAGTTACCTAGTTGGAGTGTGCTAATTATTTTCCTGCCGGATATTCCTGAAGGATGAGTGGTTTGAGGCCAGTAGAGTCTTCTTGCTGAAACCTGGATCCTATTGAAGTAGTTCCAGTGACACGCTTTCAGAAGCAAAGTCACATCGAACTGCCACGGCCCTGTGTGATTGCCAACGAGCCAGATTTCAATCCGTTAACGCGACTCCGCCGGTGAAGCGGTCCGAACTTTTGGAACAAAGGTGCGGCGCTGAGGAGGAGCCAAACGGAAATCGCATTACGTGGAAACCAACCAATCACAATGTAGCCGAAGGGTGCTATAATGTCTATCTCCCCCAGTAGTGCCCTCTCAAGACTAAAAAGTCGGTACCCTTCTAGCCTCTTTGGACCTAGATGTGTTCAAGGACGTAGTGTTTGGTCTTTGCATGTGACCTGCCTAGAACCATCCCCAAGCAGCACGTTTTGAATCGTCGGTCGGAAGGATTCATGAAGCGCCTGCGGGATTTCCGGAGAGTTGCAACTCAGATCCGAGTCCCGGACCCTTTTTGGCTTCCTTCCGTCACTCTCCCTGCTGAAAATCATACTTCTCTTTGTCCCGCGGGGTTACAGGGAAACTGTCACTACTGAATATATACATTGACATATATATATATATATGTACATATTTAAGGATGCTGAAGCGTCATGGAAGTGGCTTAAAACAACCGCCTAAGGCTTCTTCGCACCGGGATCCCATTCCCACAGGTTGCGGCACGTGTCGATCCATCGATCCGAAAAGTCCGAAAGCCATCAGCTTGAGCTTCCGGGACTCTGATGAAAAGCGGAAAGAGCAGTCCCAACTTGGCGGATTTTCCACTGGGTCCCCCAGCGATTGGTGCCCTTTCTCACCCGTTTCATTTTTTTTGGTTGGGAGGGTTCCCCTACTCAAGTAGACAAAACTGGGAAAAAGGGTACCCTTATTCTAACCTCTCTACTGGAGGACCTAGTTTCTTTCTTCCAAGAGCAATCATAAAGGACTCCAGGGTTGTGGTTGATCGCTCGGGGCTTATCCAACCACTTCTGTACCAGGGAATCTCCCCCTTTATGTGGGGAGTTAGTCCTTGGGAAGCCCTTTTTGGTGTATCACAGAAGTGGATTCCATTTCCCACAGCCCTGTTTTAAAGGACCCATGTTTTTGCAGGTCCTTGGAAGACCAGGGTTAGACCGTGTGCCCCCAGCCCAAATTTGTTCCTCCGTACTCTTGGGGAAACAAGAAAAGCATTCGCCGCTCATCTTGAAATGGGTGTGCCTACTCCAAACACCCGCTTCCTTTATGGTTCATTTCGGAAAACCAGTTTTTTCATGGCAAATACATCCCTTGATAGGTAGTTCACATGCTGCCCCGAAAACAGGCGGCATTGGAGTAGGAGCATCCTTTTGAACTTTTGAACTTCAATCCCTGCCGTTTCAGTTATGTGGACCGCCAGTGGGGGGGTTCTTTTTTTTCTTCTTCGACTTTTGTTTGGAGGGGGTCTCCGGTGAAGTCAAGCACCGGAAAATGGGTGCCCCTTCTTTTCTTGGATCGGTATCAACTGCCTGTTTTCCCATGGGTCTGGGATGCTGACGCACATCTGCGCTGGGAAAAGGTCCCAATGCAAGCTCAGAAAGCCTGAGAATGGACCAACATCACGCATTTGGCAGCCAAGTTTTCTTCAATTATTGGACCCCCGAAAACTGTGAGCAATCCTGTAGCGTTAACAGGTGAAGTCAGCAAGGTTATGGTGAAATGGTTGCCCTTCGTATTCTCACTCCCTGAGTTCTTGGCCTTTGTTTGGTAAGTACGGTAAGACCATTCAGTCAGCCAGGATTTGCTACCTTTTGCCGGGTGTACCATGCGACTCGCCTATTTTAAGCGAGTTTGCTTGGGTGAAGAGCCCACCGGAAGTCGCCGACGAGAGGTGCAGCTGGTTCGTCAGCAGCTTGGCTGCCCTGCCGGCCACGTTTTGGATCGATCCGCTTTGCAGGGAACCAGGGGATCCATCAGTTGGGCCGATCTGGAGGATTTGTTTGCGTGGAGCTCGGGTTCAGGTCAGTTTGGGTTGGTGCTGGGATTTGACCTCCTGGTTCTTGTAGAGGGTCAATGGGGTTTACCACCCCTTCACCACCAAACCACAAGTTATAGAGTGAAGCTCAAGGATTGCCTGCATTTCCGCCTCGGAAGGTGTCAGCACCTCTTGGGCCATTTTGGGCGTGGCTTGTTTTTTTTTTGGAGTTGGTACCTCTTTGGGTGGTTTTAAAGGGAATCCAACAAGGAAACCAGCTATTTTGGGGGGTCCCCCCCAAAAAAAATCTGACCATTTTAAGTGAGTATTTGTTTCGTGGGGCGATGGATGCAGGTTCGATCTAGGGAACTCGGTACATGTGCCTGATTGTCGAAGAGAGCTCGGTACGCAATCTCAGAGACCAGGAGAACCTGCCACGTCAAGGCGCCCTGTTTGCAGAGTTCAAATGGACATACCCCCGCAAAAAACATGTCTTCGTGTATGTACCCAGGATAGCCCCTGTACACCCTCAATTCCGCTTTTTTAACCTTCGGTTCTGGGGCATGTCCATTTGTGGGGTATGTTAGTAGATTCAAGTAGCTTCTTAGAATCATGGGACGGCAACGAGCAAAACACACAAGACCCCGCAGGTATACTTGAAGACATCCATTGGGATATGCAACCACATGGCAGTGCTTGCTCAGTGGGGTGGCTCTTGAGCGCAGTGAGAGGTTTACTCGGCCCTTCGGTGGCTTCCGTGGCTTGTCAGCTTAGCGCTGTGTCCTTCAGCGGGTAGCAAATCATTTAATGTAACAGTTTTCCCGTTAAGTTTTTTGGGTGGGAAGTATCGACAGTACCAATTCCTTCCTCTAACAAGCAGTTCCCCTAAGAATCGGGACGTCCTAAAAATATGTTTTCTGGGGGAGTGTTGCAGGGGGTTAGTATTAGGGGACAGGGATTAATCTGAAGCGAGCTCGCACATTCAGACAGGGAAGCTCGCTGACTCCAATCTCGAGGAATCCAGACCTGGTCCGTTAAAGTGAACATTTGCAGGGGTTCTCAAAGTGCTTTGTGTGTTTGTTTTTGTGAGGGAGCGGAGGGGAAGGGGGGAGGTTGTTTCGCTTTCAACCACAACAAGTGTTGGAGGTCTCAATTTCTTTGCCTTTCGACCACCATTTCCATGATTCATTTTGAAGATGTCACGATATATTGGTCCCCGCGCCCGAACCTGACGCTTGGCACGTGGGGTGAAGTGTGGTGCAGCTGATCCATGGGTTTGGTTTGCTTGAGTTCCTGTGGAAGTCATCAGCACTTGCATGTGCACGGGGTGCAAAACACGCCCTTAAATGTCCAACACTTTTTGCCGTACAAGGGTGTGTGTTTTCTTGAGGGTACCCTTTTTGTGTGGCTTGTAAATGCAAACCAAAAGGAACACAACCATCACATGCAATAAAAACAACACAAGGGGGCAGAGTTGCTCAGAGCTGCAAACAAGGTGTCCTTATGATTCCCCTTGGTTGCGAGGGGCAGAGCAATGAGGGTGGTTTTGCTTTCCTCCCGAACATAGGTTGTTAAATAGAACCCATTGGGCTTGGGTTTTCTCACTGACCGAGTTCCTGGACTTGTTTTTTTTTTTTTTGGAAAGACCATTTTAGTCGTAAATGACACGTTTTGACGTGTCTTTGGCCCATCCACTCAGGAGGTGAGGATTTATGCAACACAAGAAAACAAGGCACAGCCATGTTCCTGAGTCTTGGAGTCTTGAGATCCAGCCACTCGGGTCCTTGGCTGTTGTGCCAGGCAGCTCCAAAGATGCCCTGAGCGCGGCCCTTGGGGGGGGGGTTCGACGAATGCCAACGTCCATTTGCTTGAGAATATTTTGTTGGGGTTTTCCCCTGTTGGTTTTAGTGGGAATCTATCACTATTGGAAACATGTTTTTCCATTGGGGCTTAAGCAAATTGAAGACATGGATTTGAATAGATCTCTGGTTGACAAATAGGGGGGCGTCCCCTTTTTCGTGGGGGTTAAGACCACTTTTGGCGGGAACACCCACCCCCCTAAGGGTTTATCAATGTCAGGATTTGAAAACCATGATTGTTGGAAGAAATGTCGTTGGGGGACCTGTGAATGTGCAACAGAGGGCTCGTTTTCCTGCGAAACGAGGGAACGCCCGGAAACTGAAAGCTGTTCTTTTCCTCCAAGTGCTGGTTTGGGGTCATTTGAGCCACAATCAAAACCTGGGCAGATGAAGATTAGCAAGGGATATTCCCAACCGTAAATGGGTGCCTTCGCCGTCTTTAATTCTTTACATCAATGCCAGCTTTTGATTATGACTCATTTGCTGATTTGCAGAGCTTTCAACCGATGGAAGTTAACTTGCAGGGTTCGATTTGACAAGATGGGGGCAACACTATTTTTCAATCCGCCAAACCGCCGTGCCAAGGATCTGCGCAGTTTCGGCGCTTTTCGCTAAGTCCTTTTCGGGCCTCTCGTAGGTGAATCTGACTCACTGCCCGAGTTCAAGACTTTATGTCTTGTTGGGGAAGATCATTTTAGTGGCATACAAGTTTGGACTTGTTTCGGGCCATGCGCTCAGGAGTTGAGGAGAGGCAACATATCCTTGAAGCCATTCACTTTGTGGGAACTGCGAGAGCCCCACAGCCGATCACATTGCGCCGGGATTCGAATCATCGCGGTTGACCGGGGTTGATCCTCCATTCATCTGCAGAAACCGCAACTATTTTCCCGAGTGAATGCCAAGAAGACAAGGATCCCTAAGCAGAATGGGTTTTGTACGAGAACTTGTTCTACACCTCTCGCAGATCCGCCTTCCGGGTTCTCAGCTGCTGCTTGCTTCTTGTTTTCTCTCGCAGGGCACCTTGCACCATCAGGCCGTCCAGTGGCTTTCTATCATTCGTTGCTTCCCCGCCCGTGGTTCACATGGGGTGCGGTTGCGACTCCTCACCCAAGTTGCAACCGCGCCCATGATCAGAGTTGGTTCCTTTCTTGTGGTGCCTGATTTCAGGTTAATGAATCATCAATATCCTGCCAAAATCTTGGCCAAACCTGGATTTATAGGGGAGCATAGCCATTTTCAGGATCTTCCCTCTTCAAACCATGTTTCGTTGTGGCATTTCAGGATCTTCCCAAGCAAAGTTCCTCGACTTGCAATCGCCGAAACGTCGAGGCTGCTATCATACTATCCCTGCGTCGACTGTCAAGCAACCACACAAGCTGACGGCACCTGTCTGGTGCAACTCCCTGGATTTCTTGTGGTTCCCGTTTCTTTCCAGGGGCCGGCTTGGCTTTTTGCACCTCTGATGCAAATATCTGTGACCGCCCAAAGGCCTTGGCTTACCGCTCGGGATTCACTTCCGACCCGTCCGTTGCCGTGGGAACCTGACGAGGGACCTGTTGGGTTTCATTCTAGCGGACCGGAGGGTACCAGGCTACTGCGAAGGGTTTGGCTGGCACTACGTCAGCCATATGCTCTGGGTACACTGCTCTGTGAGGGTCGGCTCGTTTTCTCCAAGCTGCCACTCCCACCAATATCTGCTTATCTTATTTGACAAAAAGCCCATGGCAAGCACCTTGCCCCCTGCGCTGGCCACCTTGGCGATCATCCTGGCGCTCGCTTGGCTGCTCGCGCGCCACCTTCGCCGCAAGAAGAAGCTGCCGGAAGTGAAGCTCTCACAGCTGGCGCCAACACCCCTGAGACTGCAGCCGCAGTTCCCCAGCGTGGGTTGCTTCGTGTTTTCAGGTCCTTTGTGATGGAAAACACTTTTGTGTGGCGACTGTTGATCGCCGCTTTCCCCTGTTGCCCAGTGGTACCCTTTTCTCCTTTTTTGAGATAAGGGAATTCCCCTTTTGAAGTCAAGTCATTTATCACCAAACAACCCTTTTGTCTCTGCTTTTTTTGGGATAAGGGTTCCCCTTTGAAGTCAACCAACCAAAAAAAAGATGACGATTCCTCTCCTTTTTCCCATGGTCACTGGGCATCTGAGGTTCTACTTTGACTTCGCAGCGCATCCTTTCGCCCATGCCGACTTAGTGAGTCTCGCCTGCAAGGCGCATCGACCAGATCTCAGTTTTTGAGTTGGTCCATTGGTTCCAGATGGTTCCAGGCGGTGATCACCAAGTTGTTTTTTATTTCCAGGTGTTTTTCTGCTTTGGGGAATTAAGGATGCCCTTTCTTTGAGCAATTGAGGATGACCAAAGTGCTTTATTTCCAGGTCCCTTTCTTTGGGCAAGGATGGCATACAACGTGGTGGAGGTCCTGGACAAGTTGCAGGAGTACATCCAGACCAAGCTCTCATCCAGCAGCTCTGGCCAGCGCCTCCAAGTTGCTGGCCTCAAGTGCGTGCCGCCGTTGCCGCAGCTGGCGGTGCTCATGGAGGAATGCCATCTGCACCCGGAGGTGGTCCTTCACTCCGAACAACCTCAGGTTCTTCAAAGCGAGTCGACCTTTTGATCTGTTGGTGTTCCCTTTTTGGCAACCAAGTTTTTACCAAAGGTCCCCAAAGGTGGTCACCAATAGTACATTTCCAGTCCAAAGTGGTCAAGTGAGACAACCCGGCAAACTTCATGACCAAAATAAAATCGATCCCTCCAGTCCCCCCATGGAAGTCCTGAGGCATCAGAACCGGACGCGTCCGTGTCCGCTAAACTCATCCTTGGGAAGGGCGTGCTGGTGGCGGGCACGCTGGACTTACGGAAGGGCCCCGTGAAGCTTGGCGCCGGCAGCGTTCTAGAGCCCGGCGCTTTCCTGGCGGGCCCCGCCATCATCGGCAAAGACCGCCTTGCTTCCATGTTGGCTTAGCCAAAAAAACCTTTAAACAACTGGTTTGAAACGGCACGTGGCTTGTTGTTTTATGCTTGTTGGTTCTGTCCATGTTTAGTAGGGAGCAACAAGAATCATGATTTTGTTTTCCGGCGTAGGGTTGGGACAGTTCGCCTGTTGGTTTGAAAGGAAATCGATTATCACATATCACTACTGGAAAGATGTTAGCTTGTTTTCCAGGGCACGGATTCGGAAACGGAGGACACCTGCATCCGAAGCGGCGCGTACATCCGCGGCAACGTGTTGGTGGGCGATCGCGTGGTGCTCAGGGGGGAGGTGAAGAATGCCATCATCATGGACGAGGCAGAGTTCCTTAGCTGCAACAGCGAAGCGATCTGACCACTTGGTGTTTTCCCTTTTTGGGTTCCCGTTTTTAGTCAGAGTCACAACTTTGTTTTTTGGGGTTTCCCATTTTTGGTTCCCGTCTTTAGTCATAGCCCGAGTTTCCCCTTTTTGGGTTCCCATTTGTGGTAGCCCCAGAAGGTGATCAGCTTTTTTTTGCTGATTCCCTTTCGCGGGTCAAAGCTGAGGTTATGTCACCCCGGCTACGCGGGTGACTCCATCATTGGCTACAAGGCCCACTTCGGATGTCAAGCGCTGACGGCCAATTTGGGGCTCTTCGGGTCTGACCTGCGGGTGCCTCGATCGAGCTGTCAACCGGACGTGCGAGTCTAGCTGGTTTCGGACGAGGGAGCTGGGACCCGGTATCCAAATTTGACCTTTTAAAAAGGAGCGCTTAGGGAGGCAATTGGAATTTTGTGGTTTCCCTGGTTTGGTCGCTAAGGTTCACGACGAAGCTGAACAAACTCAAACGCCAGGGCCGAAGCTTAAGCTGTGGGCAAGTGAGCCACAATCAAAGCCCGGGTAGATGAAGGTTAGTAAAAGGCAGTCCCAGCCATAAATAGCTGCGGATCTCCGCCTTCAGTAAAAACCTTTCATGGTTCTGGGTAGAGCATTGTGGTACCGGGTTTTGAGCAAGTGACTCAAGTGAGGTGGCCCTGGAGGGCGTGCGCGTGAACCTGCAACGCCGCAAGATGGGCGTCATCTTGGGCGACTTCAGCCAGCTGGGCTGCTCGACCGTCACCGACCCCGCCACCTTCATGGCCAGAAATACCCACACCTACCCGCTGTGCCGGATCAGCTCTGGCTTTTATGGCCCGGATGAGATCATCAAGAACAAGCCAGAGGAACCAGTAGCGCTGCAGCGCCAGAGTATGGAAAACCAAAAGCGAGACCAGATATTTGCCTGGTGTTGGAAGGAGTGTAAGGTCCAAACTGGGCAAGTGAGACAACCACTTTCAAATTTGATTAGACCCCCTCATTTGCAGGGGACAAGTCCCTTTGGTTTCCACTGGTTTCTTGTATCCCCCCCAATTTCACGAGGAACAACTTCGATTCTTTCCTGCGGCTCCCTCCAGATGGCGTCTGGAAGTCTTGAGGCCTCATCATGCGGAAGCAGCAGCGCAAGAAGAGCCTGGACCTCAAAGAGGTCAGGGCTTTCAAGACGTCCATTTCGGGGTGTTCAGAGTGGGTCCAAGTACCTGGTGCATTTCAAGCGCACACTGGTGAAGCGGGGAAAAGGCGGGGGTATACAGGAAACCGGTGGAAAGAGAAAGGGACTTGATCGGGGGTATAAAAGGGCTACAAGGGCGCAGGAACCCTCAAAACCGGTCTCAAAATCAGTTTGAACTTGGGGAATCTGTGGTCCCTGGTAGGAGAAACTAATAGAGTACTAAAATAGTGCCAGCAAGAAAGGGCCAACAGGGGCAATCAGAAGGTGAAATCCACAAAAGCGCAAACAAACAATCTTCTGGTGTTCAGAGTGGTTCTACCTGGTGGTATACAAGCAACCTGTGGACACAAAAAGCGGCTTTTCCCCTGCAAATGAAAAAGGGGTATAAAAGGCAGCCGAACAGTTTCGGTGGTTTCAAAACCGGCGGCTCTCGTGACGATACATCGCCGTGTGGGAAGGAAGATGACACACGTCACCCGTGCCAGCACCTATACTCAAGTGGCTGTGGGTCAAAACCAATGGTACCAGTTTGGGGTAGGTGCACCACCCATTTTAGTCGATTTTAGTTGGGATTGGGATGTTCACTGGGGGTACGATTTGGATTTTGACCCATGGCCAAGGGGGGCACTTGGCCACAACAATTATCCCAGTGGGTGGCCTTGGAAGGTTCTGCACAGCCCAGGTGGCGATGAAAGTCCAACGCGAGGCCGAGGGCATGGGGATCATGGGGACTGGTGTCACACGACGTGGGCCCATGGCCTATTTACAAGGGGCAAATTGGAAAACCCACCCAGCTTGAACATACGTTTGTTTGCTCCGACTATTGTTGGCCTCATTATTTTACTATGATCAAAGTCACCTCCAAGTGGTGGGTTAAAGGAAAACAACCCGATTTTCTGACTTTGATATATAACCCCCCAGAAACAGTCGAAAGAATGACGTCTGCATTGTGAGCGTTGTCACATCAAGTTGCACGATGATCCCTTGGTAACAAGCTGGGAGTCCCAAAGGATGAGGCTGAGGCGGTTTTTATGTGTAGTGCCGTGGAAGACCTCCCTGTGGATTTTATAGAGGTATGGGCTGATTCGATCTACGTCATTCCTTTGGGCAGTGACTTGGTGGTTCTTAGGAGGTGTGTTGGTTGGATCTACGTCATGGTTCCCTCGGGTATTGATGACTTGGTAGCTCTCAGAAGGGAATGAGGGAATCACCCCCATGAATAGTGGTTTGCTTTTAGGGGATCCCGTTCTGGGCAAATTCCCAAAGCTCCAAGGACGTTTCCTACTGAGAAGCAGCACATCTTTGTAGTAAAGGGCCAAAATGTTTAACTGGTTTCGGCCAGTGAACTGAGCAGGTCAGTCAAGCTTACTTTGGCAAGGGGTGTTTAAATGGAACCCCCCCCCTCCAAACACCTGCTTTTTCAGGGGATGTCGACTGGGAGGTTTTTACTTGGAGTACCAGCTTTTCAGAGAATACCAAAACAAAGTTGATATTTGGATGGAGTAACCTAGGGGAACCCTTCGGAGGTGTCCCTGCTTTCGAGCCTCGCCCGTTTCACGGAGAGGCCACATGGGCAACAGTTGCCCGGGGCAGGCATGAAGTATTCCTGGATCATCAACGTACTGGTCGTTTCAATTTTGCAGCCAAACCATTGTACACTCAGACTGTCTATGGAACTTCGCAGATGGGTTTTCTTTTGCGGTTTACCACCATCCTGTCCATTAGGGTTCAGGTTTTTTAGCTGGTTTAGTGGGGTTTCCATGTACCCCCACAAGTTATTCACAGGGGAGCAGAAAATGCACAGCCCAGATCTACGTGAATAGGGATGTGTGATTTTAGCTGCAGGCCTCGTGGCACTGAGGTTCGCTTTTCCAACCCTGCGCTTACCCTGGCGCCGAAAAGGACGGCTGGCTCTCAGTGGTTGAGGCGTTCGGCAAATTCAGGCGAGGGGTGAATGGCTTTTGCGGTTCCTGGAAGATGATGTTTTTTGCACCGAGGGTGCTCCCCTAACCGTGGAACCAAAAAAGAGGTACCACAAAGAGAGTTTTATGTCAACATGTCGGTCTGCGGAAGTGTAATGGGGACCCCGGGTTAGCAAACCCGTCCTATTAATGGGGTGTGTGTCTCCTCCAAGAGTGATAAACCCCCGCTGAAAGGGGACACCCCCCTACTAATCAACCAGGGTTGATTAGTTTGGGGTCAACATTAGACACTTGGTCAACGGTCTTTTTCGGGGCCCCGCGGAGCGGACAAAAACATTGACCCAGTTGTATGAAGTTTGGGAGGGGGGCGGGCTGTTTGTCCCAACCCCGAGCCCGTTTTTCGACCTTCATTTGTTCTTTGAGTTTATGTACCCGGAGGGGTCCAAGTACCTTCTAAGGAGATCCTTAGACCCCTTCTTACCCCCAAAAGCCATCCTCATGAGGTACTTGGACCCTTTGAAGTATTCAACAAAAAGGTTCAAGGTCAAACATAAAGTCCCCCCCGTTGCTGGCCACTGCTTGGTCATGTGTCTGACGTCGGGGTATGAGGACTAGCAACGAGTTGCTTGTTTTTGTTTCCTCTGGGGAAGGCTATGCTGTTGCTTGCTTCAAGTTTGAACGCGTGCGAATCGAAGCAAGTCTGAGTCCTGTTTTGACATCTTACCGTTAAATGGAGGGGTTCATCAAAAGGTCCTTACTGGGGATGACCATCAAGGAAACCGCTAAAAAGACGATACTTCCCACTAAAATGGGGAACATTTCCCATAGTCAACACTGGGGACCCTGAATGGAATATTGATCACCCCCCAAATAGTCACCAACGACCAGAACCCAAAAAGCACTGCCAGAACCATCGTCCCTTTATTTTTTCGCATGGTTTTGAGCAGACCCTTTCAATACCAGGTCTTGATTCTGACTCGGATATTCATTTGGGAGTGCAATTCTTGAAGGTACCTTTTGTTTTGTGTGGTGTTCGTGGAAATTGTCAAAAGGAGCACCAGCAATTTGGGGTCCCCTCCAGGAGAATGCAAGAGAGGGGGGCACTTGTCGTCGGATGAATTGGTATTCCTCGGTTCGGACCCTTCTCAGGACACATTTGGGAAGACAATGCCAAGCGGTAGTGCCCTGTGAGGAGAACACTCCCAGCAACGTGCAACGCGCCAATTCAGCCGGACCCCAAGGCGACAGCGCAGTCCGCTAAGGTATGGGAGAGGCGTCCAGAAATCGAAGTTTGCTCCAAAATGATTTTGTATTTTGGGGTAGCCTATACCTAGGGCTTCAAGAACCTGTAAAAATGTCGTACCCTGACTAAAACATCGTGTTTTTTCTCGATTTTCTGAAAACATCGTGTTTTCAGGAAAAACATTGTGTTTTTGATAAAACCCCTTAAAAATGGGCTTCTGAGGCCAAACACTCATTTGGAGCAAAGGGTCAAAGGCAAGGGTCGGGAGTGGATTCACACAGACATCACCCATTAAGATTTCAACTGAGGGCAACGCTCTATACTGAGTATGCTTCAAATTCTAAGGACCACATTGATGAGCCTGACAGCCAGGGTGTGCAGCTGGCTTCAGTCTTGAAGTACCTTTCACAGCAACGGGCACCTGAAGACTGGCGCCAGGTCATACCGAACCAGTTTGAAGGGGGTGCTGGAATCCGAAAGCTCCTTTTGGTGCAAAACAAGACCAGGTGACACTTTTGGGATTGTTTTTATCAATTTTGAGTTTTTTTTAGCAAATGGGGCGGGATCCTGGCGGCAAACCGCAGAAACCCGCAGAAAACCCGTAGAAACCCATAGAAAACCCGTAGAAACCCGTAGAAAGCCCGCAGCCCCAACCGAAAACATCGTGTTTTTGGAAACATCGTGCTTTCTAACCCGTAGCTAAACCGTGGAGAACCCGTAGTAAAGCTTGGCAAAGCGTGGAAATTCTATGGGTTCTTCGGGTTCAACCACGAATGCGCTAATTCGAGAATGTTGCTGGAAAACAACGAAGTCGTGAGCAAAAGCACGGTCTTTGCTTGAGCTTGCGCGCTGTTCGAAGCCAGCACGCCCTCATCATGGCACTGCTGCTTGACAAGTGTCATAAAACCGTGGTACTTTTGACTATTTGGGTCCCCGGCCTCCTTCTTTCAGGTTGGAGTTGCGAAAGACGAGTGGCGAATGCGAAGCTGATTTCGTTGCGAGTGCAGAAGGGGAGGGCGATGGGAGATTCTGAGGTTGAGATGATGCTTTTGAGATCTTTTGAGAACGGATGACGGGTTGAAGGAATGTATGGGAAACTGCTTGAAATCGAAAATGCGGTGTTTCCCGAAAACATCGTGTTTTCCCACAAAACATCGTTTTTTTGTAGGTATGACATTTTCATCGGTTTTTGAGGCTCCTGGTATATGAAAAACAACATCTGAACATCTAATTTTCTGTTTACCCCAAGTGAAGCGGAGGCCCTGGTGTGCATGTCCCCTGTTGTTTTCCTTGGCGGAAAACGTAAACTCACATACAACCGGGAGGTGGGGGAGCTTCATGATTTCCAGTTCGGTGTGCTGGCATGTGGCCTGCCAAGCTTGCTGGCTGTGGGATATGCCAGCTGATTCTCGGATGTTCAAGCGAAATGAGGTGAGCGCGCTTTTGGTTTCAACGAGAGAAAGCCATCAACATACGTTTGTCCCTGTGGTGTCCTTTCTGTTGGCTTCCCT